TCAGCCCTATCCGGGAGGCTGTCTTATGGTGTCTGGGATTAGGCCTCGCTGACATTGGGTTCGAAGGCGACGCCAAAGTTATTATATACAATATCAATCGGGGTGACCATAGAGATAACCGGATTGGTGCTGTTCTTGAGGAGCTTGCACATTATTTCCACGTCCATTTGGGGTTTAGTATTCGGTTCGTAGGTCGGCGTAGTAATCGGGTAGCTCATATGGTGGCTAGAAAAGTCATTTCTTTGTACCCGACCATGAGTTGTTTCTTTGATTTTCAGACCTAACTGAATTCTAGAATGTAACTGTCTATTCTTTGAATCAATATAAGATTATCTTTTCTAAAAAAAATCTTTCTCAAATTATTATCCTAATAAATATACAAATGAGAGATGATGATGCTTGATTGGCAAAAATGGAAAGTTACCGCATAATGGTAGGATTCATGATTTTGCGATGCTGTAATTAATTATTTTTAGTGGAAATGATGATCATCAATTATTTTGGCGTAAATTTTAAAACTCACTATTTGTGTTTGACCGCAATAATTAATGGCGCGATTCCCAAGAATTTTTACTGTACATGGAGAGGAGTATATTACATTCTTGGTACCATTGTCAATTAGTACGAACTTGAAAGAAAGAACACCGAGAATTTAACATGGTATTTTTGAAGATCAGGACTAATTCACGATAGAGGTTGTGCTTTCCAAACGGTTTCACTATACGTCAAACCGACTTAATCTTACATCAATATACAACTCGGCTATATATAAGGAATAAGGATAGACACTAAATCTAATTAGAGAGTAAACAACATGGCTTCTATATTTACAGATTGATACCCAAAGATTATAAATCAACACCCTCCCTCAAATTGATGTGTGGTACGCAACATCAATTTAGAAGACAAGTACCAATGACGACTCGACGCCACTGCTTTGGTGAGTAATTTTGCAGTCTGTTCCTCTGTAGATAGATAACCAATCTGAATCACCCCTCCAGCCACTAACTGTCTTATATAATGAACATGAACCTCAATGTGATTGGTTCTGTCATGCAGTGCCAGTACAGGATTAATTGCAATCTGTATTGCACTAGTGTTATCCCCATATATTTTCATCGGAACACGACAATCAACTCCCAACTCGCCAAGTAGTCTGTGTAACCATACCAGCTCAGAGTTTACCTCTGACATCGACCGATACTCAGCTTCGGTGGATGGCTTCGAAACACCATCCTGCTTTTTACAGCGCCAAGAAACAAACACATGTCGGACCCTTGCGACAACCTCTCAGTAAGTTCATTCCCGACTCTCGTCATCGTGTTGCTCAAGTCGGCAACTCCAAAGTTTATCTGACGACAACATCACTCGTATTCTCCTTCCTAGATACAAAATATGGTTGTCATCGAATATATGTTACATGCGAGCATGTACGTAGGTTATAGGTAATATATAATTACCCAGCGCAGCATCAATTAATTAAACATATTCACATAACTACGTGCATGCCTCTTCTTGTCACGAATCTTTGCATTTATGCTTATAAATACGGCAGAGGGATCTCACAAATTGGCTAATTAGTCAATTAATCATGCATGCATGTTGATCTTAATTACACAATTTAAGGGACGGCGCCGTATATACATAAACAAAGCTTAATTAACTCCAAGTTGGCTCGATCGAGCTCTGCTAATTTATTCAATGGAGAGAAAGTTCAAAGTTATAGTACACGACGGGAAGACGCATGCGTCAAACTTGACGGCCGGCCGGCCGACGGCGAAACTTGCGGGTTGAAAAGATTGTTACAAAAGTACTTCAGCAATAAATTCGTTTGAAGGAAAAGAAGAAAGAAGAAAAAAAGAGTTCGGTCTAGCGGTTTCATAATTTTTTTCATCTAGAAATTTCGGACTCGAAACTTAAGATGGACTTCTTCTTTCATTAACCCCATCTAGTAAAACGTAAGAAAAAAACGTTTGAAATAGGAGATATATGTGACAAATCCGTCTAATATCTCACGAGTCTTCTGATTGTATCTTTATTCAATTGAATTCATCGCACATTAACCAACTCGTTTATGGGTTTGTTGGTTTCCATCACTCGATCGGTTGTTATAACTTTTTTTTTCATCAACGTCTAAACTAATTTGCAAGTCTTTTGATAGTCATACATATAAGTGTCGCCACTTCGTATTTTCGTTAATAACATAATTGTCGACATAGAGTGCATGTGATCCAAATTCAATCGGTTAGAATTACCACATTAGTACGATGATACCGTTAATTAGGCTAGAAAACTTGCTAGGTGATTTACTCCAAGGGGACAAAAATAAGTCAATGACACCTTCGTTACTTCGATAGCAACATGCACCAACTTAATTAAATTTGACACGTGATGAATTTGGGTGTTGGTTGACGTTCTTGGATATGTTATTTTAGACTTATAACAAATAACAAACTAAACTATTGATCAATTTGCATATATGCAGTTGATAAATGTTGAAAAATCGACCTTCGCTATTTCTACTCGACCAAGATCATGTCCTACCAGAAGTTCGTTTTGTTTATGGAGATGCATTTCGATAAATTAGAACATTCGATCTTTGTTTTGTAATTAAATTGGTCGTAGAGTATATGTTTTATGAAATCGGGACCTAATAACTTTTACTCATTGGGATGCTATAATTCCATCCTCAGAATTTGATTTACTCAAGTTCTGAATAGTACTTTTTTCACAAAAGATATGCGGTACGCTCATATTTATCGAATATAATACAAATCCATATATGTGGTAATGACTGGTGTACGTCAGGCGTATAGTATACAGCAGGTGATCTAACCGTTAGACGTATTTAGATGAGTTCCGGCTGATCTCAACGATCAATTTTTGTTTTTCATTAAATCAAACTTTGGGTTGGGGTTTAGAAAATCGGTGCATGGGGTTCATTAGAGGTTATGATATAATATCATAACCCAAACTCGATTTAATTCATGGTCTACATAGAGATATCTCACTAGTAGTATCTGACGTATAGTATACGCCTGACGTATGCCAATCTGATATATATATATATAGGTGGCTACTTCGATACACTCACTTTTTTGGGTGCGCTCATATCTAAAAGTGTCCATAATACATCAAATTTTAACTTTAATTAGTACTCTCAATCTAATATGATGATATGACATAGAATCATAACAAATCAATCTATTAACCTAACCCTTTAACCTTCAATTTTGAATCCCAATGCAAAATTCCAAAATGTAAACCTAAACCCTAACCCTAAACCCCTAAATCTTTCAAATTAAAGTAAATTTTAAATTATTTTTTTTCAAATTAATGTGCTTCTTGTTCATAATATCATAAACAACAATTGATACCGTTTTGACATGAATCGCATGCTCAGAATGATGATTATGAGGCGGGTGCACTGAGTGCACTCAAAAAAGTGGGTGTGCCGAATGCGCTACCATATATATGATAATGACTGGTATACTCCAGGAGTATAGTGTATTCCACATGATCTAGTAGTTAGATGTACTTGGATGAGCTCTAACCCATCTCAACGGTCGATTTTATTTTTCCATTGAATTGAACTTTGGGTTTGGCTTTAGAGAATGGGGGCCAGGGATTTACCATTAGATCGGTTAGAGTATAATATCATACCCAAAACTCGGTTTAATTTATGGTCTAGATAGGAATATATATATGGTATATATACGATGGTAAAAGAAAGCTTAATTGTTTTCGATGGTTGTCTAATATCATACCCAAAACTCGGTTAGAGTATAGTATCATACCCAAAACTCGATTTAATTTAATTGTCTAAATATATTTGTTAATTTATTCGATGATTGTCTAAACTAGAAACTTAATTGTATTTAGTTTTGGGCGGGCGCGATAAATTGTTGAATGAGGAAAAAAAGTATACTCACATGTCAATAATATTGGCTTATGTTTTGTTGGTTTTGGACACAATCACCCGTCCCTAATTAGATAGTGTTTGTATACCTTGTACGTGTTAGGTAACGTGTCACAGTTTTGAAATGCCAATTTGCTTGTCTCAAGTCAACCCATCTACTTTCTCCTATTTGGTAGCAAATAGAGGAATTTTATAATGTTTTTTTAAGGATTGAAAAATCATATCTTAGATACGGTTCGACCAGAAAAATCTAATACCAGATGCTAAATCAGTAGTTTGTATTTAGATAATGAAACAATTGAACCACAGCTAAACTACGGTTTCATCATAAGATATCCTTCTGCTGACTTTTCTTGTTCAACCTCTTAATTTAGTGATGACAATTTAAACCCGCCCCGCAGGTATTACTCGACCTGACCCGCGATGGGGCGGGTATTACCTGACCCGCAGTAGCGTGGGACGGGCATGGGTATCTAGTATTTACTTCCGACCCGTCCTGCCCTGCCCCGTTTTAGACCCATTTTATCTCAATTCTTATAGTATTTATATAATTTCTCCTATTTTGATTTTTCTTTAACTAATTAGAGTCGATCTTTCAACTTGTTAGTGAAAAGTAAATAATTTCATTCATAAAGTGTTTTTCCCTTTGTTTTATCATAAAAAGTAAATTTTGAGTGTATTTTTTCAAATAACATCTAAGAGTGGGTCGACCCGTCCCGCCCCGTACCTGCGCGGGTTTTACCCACCCCGCCCGTAGTAGAGTGGGACGGGACATGGGAATTGAGGTGCCCTTCCCGCCCCATTGCCATCACTACTCCTATACGGTTTTGCAGTCCTTAGACTTGTCACTTTCGATATTTTGGTTTATAAAAAAATTCCCTTGATGAATTATGATACTTGTACATTTAACTTTGCTGTACAAATTTTGTTTCTACATATATAACTTGAAACAAAATCATTTATGATTTTCAAACTTATCGTGTACCTTTGATATTTTTGTACAAATTCATCCTTTGAGCTTTTAGTATAAATTCATTTATGATACAAAATTGCAAACTAAACTCATACATTTGACGTCATAATGCAAACTAAACTATACCATAACAAAGACCGAAGTTATACCATAACAAAGACCGAAGTGCAAGTTCAATTTGTACCTCAAAACACTCATACTTCAGACTTTAGTGCATAGTAGGATGGCCCATCAAAGATACCCTTACAAAAAAAAGAGGTGAAAACCAAATTCTAAGTTCCCTTCGTTAGGCCCAAAGCAACCTGGACTCCAAATAAGCCCAAACCAAAAAGAACCCAGAATACAGATGTGATGCTCATAGCTTTTAGAGCTTAACCTCTATTGCAGCAGACAACACACAGAACAAGCCCTAAAACTAGTCCATTCTCATTCTGAGAGGGGAAGATTTAAGTTCTAAATTTGATCCTGCAAAATTTAAAAAATCCTGGTAGCTAGTTTCTCCAAGCAGACATCCAAACAAGCCAAAATCCACAGTTAAAAGAACACTACCAATACAACCCACCTAACATAGTAGTACTAGACTCGAGACAAGACTCCAGACCAAAGTATGAAAACAATATCAAGCTACAAAACTTCTCCCAATAGTACACAGACTACAGCAGCAGCAGCCAATGGCCAGCAGCAGCGGCGGCAACAGCAGTATTCTATTCTCTCTTGGTCAAGTCGTTGTTCACGACCATGGTATCGTTTCGCTTCACCTCCTTTTGCAGAGCTCTCGGGTAATGGACTCGCTCTTCTGATGAGATCACCGGAAGAGAGGGACCCTAGTGCGGTGCTATGAAGCCCCAGAGGCAGCAGCTGCAGCATACATCCCTCCGTCCTGATTGGGTTGTGCAGTGTTGTATCCATACCCACCACCACCGCCACCACCATAGCCTTGCCCTCCATAATACCCTCCACCACTGCCTCCACCATTCCAGTGATTACCATGATCCCCTCTCCACTGCAAATACTCACAACATGTCAATATCACCAAAAATAAGGAAGTTTTCAACAGTAAACAATTGAAATGAATGTTTTGAAAAATTAAACAAATACTAAATGCCTGGATTGCCAACTGCATCCCAAAAAATTTACCTGCTTGTTTGCAGGACTACGGCCCCATGAAAGACGAACAGACTGCTTGCCAATCACAGCATCATTCAAACCCTGAAGTGCTTCCTCAGCATCTTTTCTGCAACCCCAAAGATAAAAACAGATAATCTGTTAGATCTTTAGTCCTAAATCACTGCAGAATAACTTAAAGACCGCTATAACTAGATAATATCTACTAATGCATTTCAGAATATGCTATAATCAATGTCAAATATCAAAACTAGATACCTGTTCGCAAACTGGACAAAGCCACAGCCTTTCCCAACGGGTATTTTGACGGACACAACATCACCAAACTGACTAAATGGCTGCCTGAGATCCTCCTCGCTAACATCAGAGTCAATTCCTCCTACGAATATCTGAAAACATTGAAGAAATAAGAGGTACATCTTATTCCAAGCCGCTACTAATGCACACCATGACAGCCCTACTCACAGTTGTGTTGTTCTCGCCGCCATCAGCATTGGAACCTTGGGCTAAATTGCCGTTTGATGCATGCCCACCACCACCAGCCAAAACCAAAGCTAGTAAGAGAATGATATTGACCAACAAATTAAAAATTCAATATTTAAAGCACATCTTACAGGCAAGTACTCTGTTTAAACAATAGCCTCACCAAGTTAAGGTAGACAGATTGAAATCACCCAATATACTCAAAACATGCATATAAAAAATGGTAATACAAGAAATTCAAATTCAACAAGTTAATGCTTATAAGGCATCCAAGGTGTAATAAGCTTGAATTTGAAATGAGAAAATGGCTCCATGAATTACTAATCAGTTACAAAACATCTAACTTATCAAGACCTTTTCAGTAGTTTCCTTGTGTAAGTATAATCATCCAAAAACTAAAAGCTCAAACCTAAAACAGGCTTCGAGTTTGAAAACACACTTCTGCCACATAATGATGTCCGAAAAAGTCTATACAAGTAATATAAGCAACACAGCGTCATACCTTGGACATCAAAGTCAATTAATAAATCAAATAGTTGAATTGCTACCTTAAACTCAAAACCAAGAAATCCACAAAATATAGTTGGAATGCTCAAAACGTCCAAGCTGGCAAACATACCAAAGAAAGAACAAAGATGATCCAGCCACATTACAGGACGAATAAGATCTCTAAGTATCATGTCACAGAAACAGACAGCGAGGAAACACACACCTTGAGAAGAATATTGTTGTTGATACGGGGAAGACTTTTTGGGAGTGGCGACACCTATTCTCATGGGCCTAGATGAGCAGTAAACACCATTCATCTCCACCATAGCTCTAGACCTCTCACTTTCATCACCAAACCTAACAAAACCATAACCTTTCGACCTGCCAGTATTGGAATCAATAACTACTTTGGCTCCCTTAACAGAGGGATATTTGCCAGAAAAGGTCTCCTGCAACATAGAATCAGTGACATCTGCAGCCAAATCTCCAACAAATATAGACAGGTCAGAATTCGGTTCAGCTCGTCTTTCACCAGCAAAGCTTGCCCAGTTCAGACGGAACGGCTGCTCTGAATTTGGCATCGTGAATCCATTGTAGTTCTGCAGGACTTTCTCCGCCGCCGCATGTGAATAGAACTCAACAAAACCATACCCTTCTGATTGATGGGTTTGCTTATTCCTTATAACCTTAACAGATGCAACCTGCTCAATACAGTCATACCAAGAAAAAAGAAAGTGCATTAACCAGGAGCTACCCAGGTAATATATTACAGGTTAAAGTTAAAACATGAATGCCCCCGAGATAATACATCTGATGGAGAGCATCAAGTAAACCAAAAGATATAATTGAATGAATAATACTAAAACAAAAGGAGGTACAATTTGATGCACTATGATTTAACATGACATGCCAAGCACATTGTTGAGCTGAAAGCGGACGAATTAAAGAATCACCATAAATTAGCTCTCATAAACTCAAGGGTGTTAATTAAAAGCATTAACTTTCACCGTTCTCAAAACTACTCTACTGCTCAAACAAAGAATTGATAATGTTTCTCTTCCAGGAAATCATGAACTTAGCACAGTTAGTAGTACAAAACAAGAGATGGATTTTCCCCGGCTTATGGACCACAGTAACAAAAGTAGCAATCCACATTTATTACTGGAATTGGCAGTAACAGTTCAAGCCTGAAATTGGGTTGCAAATTTAACTGTTTTCACATTAACAAACAGCAACCAATGTTAAAAGCGGACACTTCACCCTTCACACAGCCAAAAGGAAGTAAACCATTTATAGTCATCTCCAAAAGATTCGATGGGTGAACCAAAACGCTTTTATTACCCAAAAATCAATAAGAGGAAACAATAAAAGCAATCAATCCAATCAAACCAAAACAAAGATTGCATAAAAAGATCCACATGCCGCAAAAAGATCCAGATTTCAACATTCATCTTACACATAAAAAGAAAGAAACTGGGTATACCTCGCCGGTGGGAGAAAAACAATTTTGAAGATAAATCTCGTCCATCCAAACAAGCAAGTCGCCGACCCAGACAGTCTTGGCGTCCTCCGGCGCCTGGATCTGATTCTGCTGCTGCTTATTATTATACTGCTGCTGCTTCTGGTACATCGGCGGTTGCTGCTGCTGCTGCTGTTGTTTCTGGTACTGCTGCTGCTTCTGATAGTAAGCCATGTAAGCCTGGTGATGCGGGTGGTGCTGCGGCGGGTACATCATCATCATCTGCTGCTGCATCATCGCCATGGCCGCCGCCGGGTACTGCATCATCCATTGCTGTTGCTGCTGCGGCGGAACCCACTGCTGCTGCTGCGGCTGATACGGCTGCGCCCCCTGGTGATTGCTGCTGCTGCTGTTACTCGTCGCCGGCGGCGGAGTGGCAGATGGGTTCGGATCAGCTCCGCCGTTGGATTGCGGCTGCATCTTGATCCGATCGAAATCGCCCCCACAAATCCAAACGAAGGAAACAAAGAAACTAACAGCCCGCGACCCAGTTAAAAAAAAGAAGAATCCCCCTTTTGGGGTTGGTTCCTTTCTTCCCCTTCTCCTCGTTGGATGGGGAAAGGCAAGTTCTTGGGGAAGAAGAAGATGGTGGCTGGCGACGGAATGCCGGAAGAGGAAGACAGGGGAAGCGAAGGGGAAGTGGTTATAAAGGGAGGAGGCGGCGGATTTCGTTATTTGGTTGTGTTTAGGGGTTTTAGGAGGCTTCGCCTGAAGGTGGATTTGGGACCCACCACTCTCCTTTAGGGTTAAATTTAGGTGGCTGATGAACTTTTAACAGGGCATCCAATTTAAGATTTTGGTCTACTAATGGGTAGAGTTTGCCAATTTGTCAGTCAAAAAAAGGAAGAATTTGCTGATTATAATTTATAATTGCTGGATTACACAACAACGCGGTCAATCATTATTGTGCCTAGATTTGTATCATTTATGACATCCATATATACGTGTAATCTTTATACGATTCTCTAAAATTGATAAATCGTGAAACTGAAATTTTATGAGTTTGGAGATTTATAGCTGCTGAGTTTGTTAATTAGCGGAATCAAATCATAATAATAATAATAAGTGTGTCACTTTCAGTTATCGTTCGAATTGTTTTTTATGTAGAGGTGGACAAATGAGTGGTGCATCTGCTGCAGTTTGATATCAAACCACCTGTGCAAAGGGTTGCATGATATGCTACCGCAAACCTTTTCTTATAACCCATTTAGAGTTTGGACTAGGAATTTCAGCTCGATCGGTTCTTTTCATCAGACCTCTTTTGGCCAGCACAAATTGTCGCAGGCATTTACACGGAGGGAACTTACGTTGGTACGTCAGGTCTGGGATCTCCGGTCCATTGTCTTCCTTTGGACCTTAACATGTATTTCATGCCACAAATATGTAGTTTATTTTTTCCTGGTCTTGAGTTTCATACCATCTAAAATTTCTCTGGATGTGTTTTTATGTGTGAGATAATAATTGATGTGCTTTAAACAATGAGCATTACCATATTGGGCAGATCTAATTACTATATCTTGAGGTAAAAATATGTATTGTTTTTGTTGCTCTTTTCTCTCCCAATATATACTATAGGAAGACTCTTATTGTACAATCTAAAATTATACAAACATGAAGTCATGGCCTCATTATTAACACAAAACTCTAACTAACTCAAGTACTCAACTATTAAATCAATGTCACCCCTTATGTATAGTTAGCAATTTTTCCAAAACATGGGTAGAATATAAGTTAGATATAACATACTAAAACCTGATTTTCAAAACACTATAAAAAAATGGCCCATACAGGTCTCGAACCTGTGACCTTCGCGTTATTAGCACGACGCTCTAACCAACTGAGCTAATAGGCCAATTGATGGTTCACAAGTGTACTTTCAAGATATTTGTAAGTTTCAGACTTGTGTAAGTGACTATTGAGTATAAATCCCTAACGAACTCAACCCCCCCTAAATTAGTGCAAAAGAATGAATATATTCATGTCATATTTTCGCCAGGTGCAGCACACTAATGCATGTCTTCTAATGTCGATTTGCAGTAGCTTATTACATCACATTCTGCCGCGCAACATCAAGCCTCCCATTCATGAAGTGCTTTTTTTTCAGCTTGATCCAGCAACAAGCAGGACCGGGACAACGCTATCTGGAATGTGGTTTGTGCTGCAAAATGTGTCTGTCAGTTATGGTGGAAGGAAATGATAGCAAAGAGAGAATCCAAGAGAAGGAAACCATTACTGATAAAGAGTGAAGGTTGGATCACGACAGATCTCCTGGGTATCTTCAGGTAGATCTTCCTTTCTCCACCTTCTTCCTACGGTAACTAGTAGCAGGAGGCCTAGGAGTACTAGACCTCCGCCTTTGAATTTCCTAAGACAAGTTGGTAACTTGGATTGACTAATGAGCAAAAGACTTTCCCTTTGCAATTCCATTCTATTGAAGCGAGCTATTATGACTCAATTACCTTCCAAATTTTGAGAAACTGCAAGCGGAGATCTCGTTCCTAACCGCAATTGCGTATCCATAGTAGCATTGGAACCAAACAAATTGAAGATTTCTCAAGAAATGAAAAGGATGGGATGCGAGGGGAGGGGAGCACCTGGCGGCAGCGATCGCAAGTGAAAGGCAAGAAATCGAGCTGCTTGCACTCTTCGACGAAGCAGTGTTTACCAAGATCTGGGAATGCCGGCGTCCCCATAGTCTAATGAGTAGATGCGTGTTGAAATATGTGCTCAATCTAATGAGTAGATGCGTGTTGAAATATTGACCACAGAAAGAGTTGAATGTAGATTTTCTAGGACTTCACATATCAACTACGAATGAAAATAAAAAAAACATAGGGGTGTGCAACGGTTCGGACTGGATCAAACCATGAGAACCGTGGTCCAATCGTGAAAGAAATTTGAGGATCATGGATCGGACCATCAATACGTTTGGTCCATTTGATCCGGTTCGGTGCGGTCCAAAAATCAATTCGGTCCATCTTTTCTTAAGTAATCCTAAAATTCATTGGACCAAGGACCGGACCGTACTATATTTGGTCTGGTGCAGTCCGGTCCAAACGTCGGTTTGGTCCGGTTCAAACATACATATCCTTCACTGGTGGGAGAGGGAAGGAGGAGCTCGGCCTGGGCCTGGGCCGTGGGGCTGAGCCCAATTAGGCGGGAAGAGGGCGGTGGTTAAGGATTTCCGACCCCATTTGGGATTAGAACCACTTTCTTGTATAAATAAATAAATTCATTCCTCTTTGCGCAATCCTTGTCCTCGATAATTTATCGTAAAAGTGGGGTATGGAATTATCATTCCAACTAGAAGTAGGAATTAATGCATAAAAAGGTGTGGTGGGCAATTTATGGGGTATGAAATTAAATTTAGGGGGTCTGGAATTGATGACATTTTCTGCAGTGGTATGTTCTTGATTTGCAAACCAATACACAATACAGTAGTACACAACCTTATAATATTTCGTAAACAACATATATATACTCCGACGCGAGACGAAGATAAATAAATGAGTAAAACAGAGGAATAAGGAAAAGGCCAAGTGGGGTTGATGATTGGCAATGGCTGGCGATCACCTCATCACCATTCACCAGGTAGAATAAAGAGAAAGAGTCCTGAACTAATAAACTAATACCACTAACTACGTACAGTGCTGTGCTTGAAAGAGGATCGAACATTACTACTCCTACTACTACTACTACTAGGCAGTATCAATTCACCGGAACAGAACAGAACAGAGATATGCTGCTGGCTCGCTCTCTCTCTCTCTCTCTCTCTCTCTCTCTCTCTCTCTCTCTCTCTCTACCGTATAAACATTCCCTTGTTTGGATGAACGAAGGTTCCCTTGACCTTTGCAGCTAGCTAGCTTAGCCATGAATGATGAACACCAACCAGCTAGCTACGACTGTTTGGGTCATGAATCTGATAGCATATTGTTGGATGAGAAATACATTGATGAGAAATGAATCTGATAGCATATTGTTGGATGAACACCATACAATGTCAAGTTTGGTACCAAAAGCGGTTTTGCACAACTAAACACCATACATTGTAGAGAGAGAACTGGTAGCTCCTGCATCTTGTTGGGATGGTCCCCAATCAGCAAGGTCTCATTCATCGAACCTATATACTCTTCTGCCCGATTCCTCTATACCTCATCTATACAAATCTAATGTTTTACTAAACAGGAAATTTCAGGTAACCAAAGCTAATGTGTTACTCAACTATACAATCAAAACCAACACGACGTAGGAGCTGTTTCATTGAAGTTTCCTGCAAGGTCAAAGAGATGTCCGTCCTGAAACAGCAGTTAACAAGGCTCGGTTAAGCTCCCCCAAGGTCTCATTCATCGAACGTACATACTCTGCTGTAAGATCGACATCAGCCTGATTCCTCTCCCCCTCTTCTGCCCACTCCTTAGCCTTGGCAATTTTATCTTCCAGGTTTTTTATGTTCGACTGGATAACACCCACCCTTGGGAAACCTGCAACAAAAACAAATGGATGAGAAATAACCTACATAAAAAAGGTACATTGCCAATTTCGAAATACATAAAAAAGGTTATGTATGAACAAAAAAAGGAATCACTTACCAATTTCGGCATACAGAGCATGGAGTGTAGCAATTTTGTGATCAATAAGTCTGCCCTTTCTATCCCTCTGCATCTCCAACTCAAGGCACTCAATCTCGAGATCGAGATAGTTCAGCTGGGAACGCATAGAACAGGCGGGTTGCTTCAAAGCGCGCGTAGTAACCGCGCTCAAGGTGATCCCTCAATGCAATGTGCCAGGCGAGTTGATGCTGAGATCTGAGTCGGTCAAAGACCAGATGCTGTATGCAGTGGCGGATTCAGAAAATTTTCACAGGGGTGTCCTCTTCAAAAATTAAATTTAATTAAATAATAAATTAAATAATTCATATATTAAAATTATCATACTTGTATAAATTTTTTATTAAAATTCATGATGTTTTCATATTTTGAAAAAATAATATAAAATAAACTTCGTGTCTGCACTGTTCAAAAAAAATCTACATATCCTACTAGACAATACTTCACGAACTTATCACATATTCGATTTCTAACCTTGTTCTTAATGTAGCTCAAAGTAGAAAAGACTCTTTCAACACTTGCCGTGTAACCATAAAATCAATTCAAAAAAAATCTAGGGGCGGATACATGGGCCTCTAGGGGTGTCTCGGGACATTAAGAACAAGGTTAGAAATCGAATATGTGATAAGTTCGTGAAGTATTGTCTAGTAGGATATGTAGATTTTTTTTGAACAGTGCAGACACGAAGTTTATTTTATATTATTTTTTCAAAATATGCAAACACATCATGAGTCTTTTCTACTTTGAGCAGTGCAGACACGAAGTTTATTTTATATTATTTTTTCAAAATATGAAAACACATCATGAGTCTTTTCTACTTTGAACAGTACATGAGTCTTTTCTACTTTGAGCTACATTAAGAACAAGGTTAGAAATCGAATATGTGATAAGTTCGTGAAGTATTGTCTAGTAGGATATGTAGATTTTTTTTGAACAGTGCAGACACGAAGTTTATTTTATATTATTTTTTCAAAATATGAAAACACATCATGAGTCTTTTCTACTTTGAGCAGTGCAGACACGAAGTTTATTTTATATTATTTTTTCAAAATATGAAAACACATCATGAGTCTTTTCTACTTTGAACAGTACATGAGTCTTTTCTACTTTGAGCTACATTAAGAACAAGGTTAGAAATCGAATATGTGATAAGTTCGTGAAGTATTGTCTAGTAGGATATGTAGATTTTTTTTGAACAGTGCAGACACGAAGTTTATTTTATATTATTTTTTCAAAATATGAAAACACATCATGAGTCTTTTCTACTTTGAGCAGTGCAGACACGAAGTTTATTTTATATTATTTTTTCAAAATATGAAAACACATCATGAGTCTTTTCTACTTTGAACAGTACATGAGTCTTTTCTACTTTGAGCTACATTAAGAACAAGGTTAGAAATCGAATATGTGATAAGTTCGTGAAGTATTGTCTAGTAGGATATGTAGATTTTTTTTGAACAGTGCAGACACAAAGTTTATTTTATATTATTTTTTCAAAATATGAAAACACATCATGAATTTTAATAAAAAATTTATACAAGTATGATAATTTTAATATATGAATTATTTAATTTATTATTTAATTAAATTTAATTTTTGAAGAGGACACCTCTGTGAAAATTTTCTGAATCCGCCACTGCATACAGCATCTGGTCTTTGACCGACTCAGATCTCAGCATCAACTCGCCTGGCACATTGCATTGAGGGATCACCTTGAGCGCGGTTACTACGCGCGCTTTGAAGCAACCCGCCTGTTCTATGCGTTCCCAGCTGAACTATCTCGATCTCGAGATTGAGTGCCTTGAGTTGGAGATGCAGAGGGATAGAAAGGGCAGACTTATTGATCACAAAATTGCTACACTCCATGCTCTGTATGCCGAAATTGGTAAGTGATTCCTTTTTTTGTTCATACATAACCTTTTTTATGTATTTCGAAATTGGCAATGTACCTTTTTTATGTAGGTTATTTCTCATCCATTTGTTTTTGTTGCAGGTTTCCCAAGGGTGGGTGTTATCCAGTCGAACATAAAAAACCTGGAAGATAAAATTGCCAAGGCTAAGGAGTGGGCAGAAGAGGGGGAGAGGAATCAGGCTGATGTCGATCGTACAGCAGAGTATGTACGTTCGATGAATGAGACCTTGGGGGAGCTTAACCGAGCCTTGTTAACTGATTTTTCAGGACGGATCTCTTTGACCTTGCAGGAAACTTCAGTGAAACAGCTCCTACGTCGTGTTGGTTTTGATTGTATAGTTGAGTAACACATTAGCTTTGGTTACCTGAAATTTCCTGTTTAGTAACACATTAGATTTGTAGAGATGAGGTATAGAGGAATCGGGCAGAAGAGTATATAGGTTCGATGAATGAGACCTTGCTGATTGGGGACCATCCCAACAAGATGCAGGAGCTACCAGTTCTCTCTCTACAATGTATGGTGTTTAGTTGTGCAAAACCGCTTTTGGTACCAAACTTGACATTGTATGGTGTTCATCCAACAATATGCTATCAGATTCATTTCTCATCAATGTATTTCTCATCCAACAATATGCTATCAGATTCATGACCCAAACAGTCGTAGCTAGCTGGTTGGTGTTCATCATTCATGGCTAAGCTAGCTAGCTGCAAAGGTCAAGGGAACCTTCGTTCATCCAAACAAGGGAATGTTTATACGGTAGAGAGAGAGAGAGAGAGAGAGAGAGAGAGAGAGAGAGAGAGAGAGAGAGAGCGAGCCAGCGGCATATCTCTGTTCTGTTCTGTTCCGGTGAATTGATACTGCCTAGTAGTAGTAGTAGTAATGTTCGATCCTCTTTCAAGCACAGCACTGTACGTAGTTAGTGGTATTAGTTTATTAGTTCAGGACTCTTTCTCTTTATTCTACCTGGTGAATGGTGATGAGGTGATCGCCAGCCATTGCCAATCATCAACCCCACTTGGCCTTTTCCTTATTCCTCTGTTTTACTCATTTATTTATCTTCGTCTCGCGTCGGAGTATATATATGTTGTTTACGAAATATTATAAGGTTGTGTACTACTGTATTGTGTATTGGTTTGCAAATCAAGAACATACCACTGCAGAAAATGTCATCAATTCCAGACCCCCTAAATTTAATTTCATACCCCATAAATTGCCCACCACACCTTTTTATGCATTAATTCCTACTTCTAGTTGGAATGATAATTTCATACCCCACTTTTACGATAAATTATCGAGGGCAAGGATTGCGCAGAGAGGAATGAATTTATTTATTTATACAAGAAAGTGGTTCTAATCTCAAATGGGGTCGGAAATCCTTAACCACCGCCCTCTTCCCGCCTAATTGGGCTCAGCCCCACGGCCCAGGCCCAGGCCGAGCTCCTCCTTCCCTCTCCCACCAGTGAAGGATATGTATGTTTGAACCGGACCAAACCGACGTTTGGACCGGACTGCACCAGACCAAATATAGTACGGTCCGGTCCTTGGTCCAATGAATTTTAGGATTACTTAAGAAAAGATGGACCGAATTGAGTTTTGGACCGCACCGAACCGGATCAAATGGACCAAACGTATTGATGGTCCGATCCATGATCCTCAAATTTCTTTCACGATTGGACCACGGTTCTCATGGTTTGATCCAGTCTGAACCGTTGCACACCCCTATGTTTTTTTTATTTTCATTCGTAGTTGATATGTGAAGTCCTAGAAAATCTACATTCAACTCTTTCTGTGGTCAATATTTCAACACGCATCTACTCATTAGATTGAGCACATATTTTTCAATAACACGTGTTATTTGGCTTTAATCTAAGTTGAAGCATGACCAATATTCGAGTGAGTCTGGAGGAACACGATATGTGCTCGTCTAGGGGAGGAAGATTGTGTGTTGTACCGAGGCTTAATTGATTTGCTATACTAGTGCTACAAAGTTCAACCTTGCGAAAATACACGATCAATAATGGAATTGACAGGGAATCAAATAAAAGCGCTTTCGGAATCTCTGTCACAATACTGAAGATGAGGATGGTTGGGCTTCATGGTGTCGGGTCTAGGTGTTTAGCTATGAACGAACTAGTCTGTGTAACCCCCCTTCTTCTATAAATAAAAATAAATCCCTCTGCCCCTCGATAATTTATCTTCCCAGCTAGCTTAGCTTCTCTCGCCAATCCATGGCGGCCAATCGGAGGCCGCTAAGATCAGGTCTCGTGCCTTGCGGGTCCGGGACACCGGTCGACAAACTCTTGGACGATCTTCTGATAGACATTCTGGTTCGTCTCCCGAACCCTAGATCCGTTTCTCGGTGCAAACTCGTCTGCAAAAGGTGGAGCCTCCTTCTCTCCAGTCCCGGCTTCAATCGCCGATTCGTTTCAGATCACTGGAGCAGGAACCAGCAACCTCCGAGGGGAGAACCGGAGCTCCTCACTGAAACAACAATTGACAAACCTCATTGGAAAATGTTGCATGCTCAGTTCGCTTGCTGGCCAACTCCGATTCCAAGGTACGAGAAACTGCGAGCCATGTACGATGGGAGCTACAGCTGCTGGGTTCAGAGCAAGTCGACGATTGGCAACAACCCCCCGCAGCAGCTAGGGGTCTATTAAAATATGTATGTGTAGTACGAGTAGTAATTATGTTATATGATTGGGAATAGAATGAATGACTTAATTAATACTAAATTGTTTATCACAATCAATCGAGTTGATCTATCAGCAGGAAAGGAAGGAAGGATTAGCAGTCCTGAATCGTTGGGAGAGACGATCACCACTTTTTTTTATCACAGCTTGTGTGGTGAACACAGGCGAAGGAGTTTTGTTACCATTTTGTTTTTTTTTTTTTAGTGTTAATGGAGGAGAGGTGGAGTTGTTGGATTGGATTTATTAGGCTGACTCCAATGGAGTCGCCATTTATGCCCAAATCGCTATTAATGGCGATAATCGCCATTTGGGTCTCCATATTTGGCGAAGGGAATGCCGATCCCTGCAATTATGGCGATTGGGAGGGGTGGTGGCGGGTACAACCGCCAGCCCGGGCGGTGCGCCACACGCCTGCGGAAGAGCTGCTCTCCCGCGCGCGTGCGGTACACCACCCGGGTTGGCGGTTGTGCCCGCCACAATTTTTTTTTTTTTTTGTTTAATTAAAGGTTAAGAGTTTAATTAGTGCTTTAATGATGAAAAATTAGGGAATCACCTTTAGATTTATCATTTTTAAGTATTGTGTGTAAAGAAAAATTAGGTCAATTATTTTTTATAAAAAACAATTCGGTGTCGAAATTTAAAAAAATTCTATCGGAAAATGTGTATTTAAAAATAATGACGATCTATATCAAAATTAACATGAATAAATTTGATTAAGATGATCATAAGTACATTTTTAAGTAAAGAACTACTAGAAAAAACTGAAAATCCCCAAATTTGGAGATGGTAGCATTGGAGCAAAATGGGAAGAATCTCCAAATTTAGGGATCAGGATCCCCAAATTTGGGGGCTAGCATTGGACTTGGCCTTAGTGCATATATATGCAACTTTGACTGTGCCCGGTTATGTTTTGGTCACTAAAGTTTTGGTACGTTGTCACTATGCCCATTTTTCTCTATCACTTTTTTCGACTCAAGTTGTCCACATTAGCATGGAACCCCATTGTAAACCAAACTATTAACCAATCGATCTAGATCATACACAATAAACTTAGTCTGAGTTAACACTAGTTTAAAGTTAATCGGATCATGCATGTCAACTATCTAACTTTTCAATATCGATGATTTGAGTGAGTCGGTAGAGGGCTGATCTAGTTAATCTTAACAAAGATCTTGAAACGAATTGGATGTATTGATGGTTAGTCAATTGTTGAACCAGAATCAAATTAAGTCCACCAAATAACTCTCGCCCCAAACTCATTGGTTAACAACCAAATAGTGAATATCCTAATTCCTGCATTTTCAAACTCAGCTAAGAGTACAACAATGCTCCCAGATTCTAATACAGAAAAGCAAATTAAAACATAATCTAACATTACATGAATCAACACACGCTTGATAACAGAAAGTACGAAATCCCAGTTCATCACTAAATCTACTGAAACACAATACTTACACACATTGACAAAATGTGATACTGGAAAAAGGCGATCAGCAATTCGTCTACACTGCCAAAGAGGACCTAATGTATGAATATGAATCAGAAATTGTTTAAGCCTAGAATGTGCTAGGCGGTTTGTATGGAACGAGCAAGGCGTCTGATCAGGATGATGGGGGACTCCAAGCTCCTGCAAAACAAGGGTCCGTGGGCGGTCGCCCAGGACACTCTCCGATGCTTAAGTTAGAGAGAGAAGGGAGAGCTTATGTTTGTTTAGAGAGAGAGAGTAGTAGTTGGTTACCATTAATGCCAATCCCGGTGTATTTATAGTCCCTCCTCTCGAGCATGGGCATTAAATGCTATTGTCAGGCGGCCTATGTGCACCTTACCTTTTCTAGACCGCCTACGGCGGGCATTTAATGCTTGTTCCTGCTGTGTCCGAGGTAGGTATCCCTAGGAAGATCTCCTTTCTGACACCAACGGCCACTTGTGTCAGGCGGCCTAGTCCCCGTCTTGTCGTAGGGCGGCCGCCTGCTGTTACCTTTCTCCCATACTCCTCCTCGGGCTCCCCGCCGAGGCCCTCGACTCCTCCTTGGGCCCTGCTTGACTATTCCTTTATGGGCCTCGAGCCCACTACTGCTCAACTATGGGCCCAACAGAAATGGAGCAGGTTCTCATAGAAAGTACCACGCAAAAAGTTTCCTTGTGTGTGGGCAGTCCTGACATCATGGCATCAAAGACCACTACCACTTTTCACCTCTGTAAATGTTGACAAAATAACATAGGGTGTAAAGGAATCAACCGAAAAAAAAAGAAAAAACAGAAATCAAGAAGTTGAAAGACTTTGTAAGCATTGGAACTGAAGCAAACTTACTATATTCCACCACGATGAACTATAGTAATACATCTCTTCCATTTTATGAACTTAGCATTGCAAAGGAAAATATCATTTTCGAATTCATAAAATTTCTATAGACATGTTCATCATTCAGAAAAGTTCTCTACTTTACAGTGTGACCAAGGAACACCATCTGCAGCACACTAATGCATGTCTTCTAATGTCGATTTGCAGTAGCTTATTACATCACCATCCGATTAAACTATGACGACGGATCTAATTCTAGCCACGATGCAAGAGTGCCCTAAATCTAAATCCATACTACTTATGATAGATTAGCCGAATTCCTTACCACCAAACTTTGCAAGTTTGAACAGGGTTTAGCGCTAGAGGTGGGGAAGGACCTACCAGCTGCCGAAAGCCAATCAAACACAATGATGCATTCACATATAAATCCACCTGCTCGCTCCCCCACCACCAAACCAAGATCTTTTGCTTTTTACCATTCTTTGGGAAAATTGCAAAGTCAGATTGCTACAAGGAGAAAGAAGTCAGACCATTTAAAAATAGGAAATTTTGTCAGCTGGAAGAGTCAGCTGGGGATGCAATTTGCAGAAGTCATATGCAAGTTGAAAGACACCAACTTTGAAGAAATCATATTTCATTTGTAGTATTCCCTTTCTCCGGATACAACTTTAGAAAAAGCCATTTAGAGGCATATTTTTCTTTTGTTAGTATCTGTAGATCCAGCAGCAAGGCAGGATTGCTTTCATGGGGTTCTGCGTTTTGGTGTTTGCCGTGCCTGCAAAGACAAGATATATTTTCTGGAAATATGCAGCAACTCCTGCTTCTGATGATCCATTTCAGAAGCGTCTCATTTGCCAAACAAAGAGCAGTGGCCAACTGTTAACATTGAAAGATGTTTCAAACATTGACATGAAACAAAGGAAGGAGGAGCAGTGCATAGTTTAAAGCTGCTAGTGCCTCGTATTCCTTACTTTTGATCATCTCTGGTACAATGAGCTTTTTCTGTAAAGAATGAATCGAATGTTAACTTACTCCGAACATACAACGAAAAGCCATAACTGAAAAGCCACAAAAAAATTCTCTTAACAGGAAAGGCTAGTCCTGTAAAGGCCTCCTCCGCACCTAGCATGCAATAAAAGGGTGAGGAAAATTGAAAAGTGGGGGGAAAACGAAAGAAAGAAAGATCTCCTATGTACAATACAGGTATCAGTAATCTATATCGAGGAAGGCTTTATATTGTGTTCCTTGTAGTGCCGCTTGGACTTCTTCCCAGTTCTCAACATGATTCGATAAGGATCCTTTATGAATCTTTACTTGACGACTCTTCAGCTCTCTCTGTGGAACCTTCAGAAAGTCTAGGACTTCATACAGTTTCTGCAAAACAAAAGGATAAACAGAAGTGATTTCATTCTACCCTGAATCATGCACAGTTTCGGTGTGTCACGTGTGATGAAATGTTTAGATGCTTACAGTGCGATTCTTCGCTATGTCCTCGTAGTAAAGAATCATGTGTCTGGTGCTTTTGAAGTACTCCAAGGCTTGTGCAGTTGTATTCTCTACTTGCTTCAGGTTGTGAATCAGCAGAGTTGTGTTGATTAAGGGCTTGTACCTAGCTAGTATCTCTGCCTGAAAAGAGCTAATGTCAAAGCAAGTATGGAGGAAATGGAGAAGACGGTAGTCAGCAAGGCAGGAGTGGAGTACCTCATGAGGTGAATGGACGTGAGACTTGTGGGTCCCATTCAACAGCTTCGCCCCTCGATCATACTCATTAGCTAGTACGGAAATCATTCGACGCAAGAGATTTCTCCGGAAGAGGAAGATAGCTGAAACCCCACGAGTTCTGAAGTACTCCACAACTTCATCAGGATGTTGCATCACACCCTTGATATGAACAAGATAATGCACAATGAGAAATGTAAAACGAACTGGAGGAATACCAAACATGCTTAAAGGTTGACAGTTTGACTGTCATCAACGAGTAATTCAGATCATACATGAAGGTCAGCACATTCAAGATCAATATAAACTTAAAATACTATCCAACTAAACAGGGTACTAGTCTTGTAGACATGCTTCTGAAAAGTGGAAGCTGCCTAATGTTAAAATTGGGAAGCCGACTATTTACATTGATCAAGATCTTATGTGGTGGCATATGTTGCACCCACTACTCCCAAACAAGAACAAGATGGACAAATGAAGTCAGTGGATGATCAGATAGAATTCTGGGTTGTATAGGTATAGGGTATTAAAGAGGGAAACTCAATGCAGGCTCGAGGTGCAATGAGCCATGTAGAATGTAACAGAACCAATTCCAACTTCCGAGATCCAATTCAGCTACCCTTTATAATTTCTATTTTATTGCATCTACCTTTGAGGTTTTGTATTCAAGAAGATCCAAACAATCAGAAAGGCGTACTAACTGTTAACACCAGCAAGTTCAGGACGAATTGGGTAGTTCTACGTTCACCTTGATATGGTAAAAGCCCTAAAGCTGTAAATTAAGCAACCGGTGGCTGACTAGGAGCAGCAATGCATTATGCCATCTCGTGAATGATAAGAGGGATATCCAATCTACGGCACTAGTTCAAGTGCATAATACACTTAAGAAATGTAGTGCCATGAACGTTAATGGCAGAAATAGTAAAGAAGGGATGTAGTGGTTGGTTGAAAGTAAAATATCAGAACTGGTTAGATGCAACACTCTCTCTCACCTGATTAAGCATCCACTTGAATCCCACCGCAGCCGTGCACTCATTCTTGGAGGCACTACTCAACCAGTCTAAGTTATAGACTCTGTCCAAAGTCTCAACAATGGTCGAAACGTTTCTCCTCCGTATTTTAACAGAGAAAATCTCCCCATTTGAGCTTACATTGGTATGGTTGTTCAACAATGTCTCAAACCATCCACTTCCAGACCTCTGCATCGACAAAATTGCAAAATACCGAACAGGATTGCACTCGCATTCTGCCCTACATGCACACCAAAAAGCCCCATCACTAGAATCCACATTATTGAGTGCGAACTCAAAACCAGATAAGTTATGATGTGTTCTTTTACCTACTATACATCGTGGGTTTCGGGTAATGAACATATGGTATCTCCCACGGCTCAATATTAGGCACTGGGCACTGCCTTTCGACAACCTTGAAGATCCCCGGGCTGTTGACACTGACAATGCCAACTTGCTTGAGACAGACTGATGATATGTACAGACTGCAGGCCATTAGAAGCACCACAACAACCATTCTCAAGAGCAATGGAGACTTCTTAGGTGCTTTACCAAGGAAAGAATCCTGCATATCATGAGTATGACCCATAAGTTAAAAGCTTTGCTAAACCCTGCATTACCAGAAACCCACCCAACTCAACCCAGGAACATTGAGCTCCCATAAGCAATACCCATAAGAGAATAACTCAAAATCTGAAGAAAGTTATAGCATTTAAGACCGGAGTTCTCTAACTTTTCTCTAGGAAAGATCCCAACTTTACTCCAAACCAAACAGAGCCCATAAAATCCTCCACGAAAAGGATTAACGGGAAGTGCTCGAAAGCTGAAAACATAAAACCCGGAACCATTGGAACGGCACAGCGAAAAACAAACCAGATCAGACGGTGTCAAAGAAAACATGATATATCATCTACAAAACACTGAATCTAAACTTAAGAAGAAAAGAACAGCATTTTGTCCGTACCCATCAATCAAAAGGGCAGCAATCAAAAGGGCAGCTGAATATTAAATAGAAGGGAATGAGATAGAGATTGAGGAATAAGACCTTGGTGAAGCAGTAGCAGAGATCGTCATCAGCCATGGCTTTGAAAAGGAGGTAAAGAGCTCAAAAGGGAAGGGAAAATAGAGTCATCCGGCAGCTCAGATTCCCCCTTTTTGGTCCGTCGCAGCAGTAGCTCTCTATTATTTAAAACTTCAAAAAACCCAACAAATTCCCCAAAAAGGAGAACAGAAATTAAAGGCAGAGACGATGGAGAAGAAGAAGAAGAAGAAGAGGGGGGGGCCGTTTCCCGTGAGTGAGAAGTCAAAATGATTGCTCGACTCCGCTCCTGCCTTTTGCTTCAGACCGTTGCACGCTCTGCTTTCGCCATTGCTCTCTTCTTTCTTCTTGGTCTGGTTTTCCGTTCCCCCCTTTTCTTCTCCTCGCAATCGTTTCGTACGCAGAATTGCCTCTGAGAATTCGAGTTTTGTTGGGAAGCTAAAAAAAGAGCGTCGTTCATCACAATGCGCAGGTATACAGGCGCAGCAGAAGAGCAGAGGAGGTGAGCTGGTTGTTACGAAAACGACACGGCTCTCCCTTCAAAACGGCAATCGACAAAGCTCTCTCTCCTCTCTAATAAAAACAATCGTCTAAGAGGTCGTTTGGAAGTTGTGATTGTTAGAGTTGTGTTTGTTAAATACATGTATTAAGCACAATACAATGTTTGGAAGTGTCAAGTTGTAAAACAATGCATGTATTGTTTTGTGTAGGCCCCATCAACAATCACAAAAAATGATGGATTATACAATCTCAACTAAAAGTTGAGATTGTTGTGATTGTCCTTTTAGATTTGTGTCCACTTTTTCTTTCCATTTATATCCCCAATATTTTTTGTTTTATACTAAAAGGTGAGGGTAAATGTGACATTTCCCTATAAAGTAACTTTATGCAAATCAATACATAAACTAGAATCTCAACAACCAAACAATGTATTGTCAAAATGCATCTATTGTATCAATGCATGTATTTATATTGTAGTGATTCATTACAATACAACGATTTAACATTCGCAACTTCCAAACGACCCCTAAAAAAACTAATAACCTTCTTCTGTCGTTAAATGCCCACTTTGCAACTATCGACCAGGATATGAACGTAAACAGTATATATACTAATTTCTTGTGAGTAATTAAATTTCTATTTATTAATAAATATAATAACTCATTCAATCCAACACAAATTCTGCTGTAGCTTGAACATAGATAATTTAATCTGCCTGAAGAGAAGAGAGCAGAAAGGTGGACTCTTTGAGGACTGTTTTTGACTTGTGTCATTCATTTTTTTTAGCCAATTTCAGATAAAATGGATCTCGTATTTATTAGAGTATTAGTAGTAAAGTAAGAGTATTTTTCTGTAATTTGACAAAGTTTTATTAGTATTCAAACCGTCTTTTACTATTAGGTGGAAACTAATATACAAGCATTTCCTCATATGGTACTCGTATTGTCTCATAACAATCTTCACATCAGAACAAGGACAGGTATAACTCCATGTCCTCCCTAAACAATTATCTTTATCCCTTCTCTTCGACAGGATAGCAGGTTCAGATTCGAAAATGTTTTTGGTATTACGAATTATTTTCGTTGACCTATCGACAAGTGCATTGTTTGTTGTCACGGAAAATCCCCTGAAATCAAGGTTATGAAAAATAAATAGCAGCATGTTGTTCGACACAAGGATTTTACGAGGTGCAGATCTCCAGTTGATCGTCGCGATCCGTCCAGACAGATGATCAAACACGGATCTGCTAGACAGATACGGGACTAGATAGTATAACAACACACCTTTTGTTGTTATTGTAACAACACTAGTCTCCAACCAATAGGAAGGTAGGGTTGTGATGACTTTTTATTAGATGAGTTGACCTAGTGTAAAATCAAAACAGGGGTATAATTGTCATTATGAAAAATATGTTTAAATAATAATTAAAAATATAAAAAATATTTTTTTATTTTCGGACCAAAATTTTGGTCGCCGGAATTCGGCCATCGGTCGCCGGAATCTGGTCGTCGGTCACCGGAATATACCTTTTTTGTCGCCGGAATATGCTATTTTCTCATCGGAATATTCTCACTGTCGCCGGAATATGCTCACCGTGGTCGGAATATGCTCACCGGCGTCGGAATCTAGTCATCGGGACCGGAATATGCCTATCGGCGCCGGAATCTACTCACTGACGGTCATCGGAGTTTGGTCAACGGGTTTCGTTGACCGGTCAACAGTCTTCGTTGACCGGTCAATGGCCAACGACCACCGGATGTTGTGGTCTGCATTGTGAAATTTATGGTTTGGTTTCTCATATTTTTGTATGCCCTTTGTGGTTTGCTTTATCGTGTTTGTGGTTTGCATTGAGAAGTTTCTGGTTTGCTTTATCGTGTTACTGGTTTGCATTGAGAAGTTTCTGGTGTGCTTTAAAAAAAATTGTGGTTTGCTTTTGCGGGGTTTCTGATTTGTTTTAATAGATTTGTGGTATGCATCAGGACGTTTCTGGTTTGTTTTTGTGGTTTGCTTTGCCGTGTTTGTGGTTTGCATTAGGAGGTTTCTGGTGTGCTTTCGCAAATGTTGTGGTTTGCTTTGTGGGGTTTCTGGTTTGTTTTAGGGGATTTGTGGTATGCATTAGGAGGTTTCTGGTTTGCTTTTTTATGGTTTTTTTTATCACGTTGGTGGTCTGCATTAGGAGGTTTCTGGTGTGCTTATGAAAAACTTGTGGTTTGCTTTGTGGTATTTCTAGTATGTTTTAGGCGATTTGTAGTTTGCATTATGAAGTTTCTGGTGTGCTTTAGAAACATTTGTGGTGCTGTTTATGGTGTTTCTAGTATGTTTCCGGAGATTTATTATTTATATTACAAGGTTTTTGGTGTGTTTTTATAAATTCGCACAGTCCTACTCTTCATTCTTCTTCCTTCTTCTCGACAGATAGACAACACCGCGCTTTACCAAAAAAAGATAGACAACACCGCCACGACACCCAGCGCTACCACAAGGTACGCTTTCAAAATCCATCTGTAGCTAGTAGCTACCTTTTGCTCTCTCTTCCCCTAATCATCTCAACCCCCAAACCTTAGCAGTATGTATGAAGCCTAAACATAATCAATTTCTCAGCAGAAAGAATGCACAATTACGCAATAAAAATCATGGTCCTAAAAGCAAGCACGCTTAAACTTACCCACGCGTACGCCTAGGTCATGTTAGACAACGCCGCGGCGAAATGCCTCGTTTGGGGGTTCTACCTAAATTATATATATCGATTGAGATTACGGCGACAATCCATCAGAAGCCTTCTTCTCCCCAATCCCGAGCTCAACCACGACAGTTTTTCCTCCAATCCCGAGCTCAATCACGAGCAAACAGTGAATTCAACGGCAATTTCACCGACGATGCAACTGATGCGATGGTGCCGGCGATGGTAGAGATACGGATTGGCGCCGCCGATGGCGAAATCAAACGCCCGATGACAGAAGAAGCATGAGTGGCGGGGAAGAAGCAGGGGCGGCGGGTGACGGGGAAGAAGGGGAGCGGAGGAGAAGCATCGTAATGGGGTTGAAGGAAGATTAGATCTGGACAGAAGATAGTGGATTTTAATCAAATTATTTTATTACTTTCTGTGTAATTTACTCTTTTGCCCTTAGTGAATTATGATGTTATTGTTATACTATCCAGACCCGACAGATACAGAGTAAAAAATTTCCTCACGGAAATGAAAATTCACGACGGTAACGTTACAAAGTTCGGTAGCAACGACGTTACGCACAATCTTATATTTACAGAGAGTATATATTCAAAAACCAATCAGCAAACAACTAAAAAAAAAGACAAACCACTCGAAACCCGACCCAGTTTCCACGGGTCAAAGACTCAAAAGCCAGGGCTTCATCTTCCGGTCGAACGGGTTGGAATGCGGCCCGGACCGGTTCGACCTGAAGATCTGAACCAGCAGCGGGAACTGCAGCAGCAGAAACAGCGTCACCGGCACGGCGGCCATCATCACAATCGGGACGACGAACAGCGGCCGGTGGTCCATGACGATCATCACGGTGGCGCAGAACGTCACCATCATGGCGGCGATCGACACGAACAGCGTCGACAGCCCGATCACGAGCTTCGTCGGCAGGGAGCGGCGGAAGTCGGCCTCGGCGTACCGCGAGGTGAGGATCCCGAGGAACATCAGCACGGAGGTCGAGGCGGCGAAGAGCGAGAGCGCGTCGGAGGCGATGAAGATCTTGAAGGAGCGGTCGTGGAGGAGGATCGGGGTGCCCTTCTCCTGGTTGTTGCCGCCGGGGACGGTGCAGGCGGCGGTGAACATGATGGTGATGATTAGGGAGCCGACGACGGTGGAGGAGGTGGCGGTTTCCTTCATCCATTTCTCTCCGGCGGCCGCGTCGTCGGCGGAGGAGCGGTGGCCGAAGGATTCCTTGTTCTTTGTGCTGGTGAGCTTGTGGAGGTCGCATGTGGCTATGTTGGTGATGACGCCGTTGTTGTTGTTGTTGTTGTTGATGTCGCCGCCGTGGCCGGCGTCGGAGGAGGAGGAGGAAGGGCTCATCGTCATCGCGAAGCTGTCGGCCGGTGGCGGGTCTTGGAGTCCAATGATGTGTATTACTGCTGCACATAATAACCTTAATTAGTGCCATATAATAACCTTAATTAGTGTCATATATGGCACGACCATACTAGATTGTCATTACAAAATTAACCCTTTTGTACAAAGTTAAATGGTTTGAACCATTAATAATCATTGTTACAATTTGCTCCAGTAGAATTATGGTGGTTTTGTTAATTCATGTGAACGACGTGATCGTAATAAAAGGATGTTAAGGAGGAAATTCAACGCCTCACAAACGGGCTTCAGACTACATTTTATCAGTTGAAAAAACTCGGCCCGCACTTTCTTACCTTCTTGGTATCTAAATTGAAAGCTCAAGAAAGAGTCCGGGCATCTTATTTGGCAAAGAAAGTATATCTATGAACACACGACCCGCCATCTTATATTTCTAGCAAGAGTTCAATGTCGTATACTTGGTGAATACATTGACCCGACCTCAAAACGGACACAAACATTTAATTTGTAACAATTCGGTAACAAATCCTTTCGCCTTATAACAAAACGGTTACCATTTTATACAATTTCAAACGTTTTTATTATCGTTACAAATTGAAGGGTTTGTGATTGTGTTTGTATTAAGTGCAAATGTTTGTGATCATTTATGTCAACTATCCCTGAACATCGGTCATGAAAGGCTATAACATGTCAAATTACTAATCTAGCCCTAACCCAGGTCAGTAATGCTCGGTCCCTTCGGTGGGGCAAAAGACAAAGATAATGATCGAGCAAAGCAATTTGAGCCATATATCTCTGACCCATTCGTTTTAGTGAGTGGGTGAGCTGAGCGCTAATGGTCATGTCTCTTTGGACCCTTTTTTTTCCCAGCAGAATCATCTCCCACCTTTTTATTATCCACGACGGTCACCATTCTCCAAGTTGCCGGCTGCTGTTCCTCCGGCGGACCCCATCAGCTCCGTCAACTTGGCTTCTTGGATTCATTCAACCATTCCATCGAAGCGCCTGTCAGATCAAGCTCTCTGTCTCTAGCTAAGGGGAGTTAGGAAAAACCTTACCAATTCGAGTTAGTAAAGGGCAATGAATTAATGAAGGTGTAAATTGAGTTGAATGCCCGTTAATGAAATAGTTCGATACTGTTGTGTAACATTATTTGAACTCAAATAACATCTGGGTCCGCGCGGCTCGAGAGAAACGACCTCAAATTGGACTCATTTGATCATACTCAAAGCAAATCCATAACCACTAAATGTACAAATGAGTCCATTTGTGTCAAACTCAATACTCATACAGAGTCACAACGATCGAATCAAATTATCCCAACGAATCTTTTCTTAGATCCGGTCTTTATAACTTACGAACTAAGATAAACCGTATCTTAGTTCTTAAGTTATATATATACCCGATTACAAATGCTTTGTCTCCTGTTGATTATAATCACCCTTTCTGCTCTTAGATTATGACAAACTTTGTTGCAGTTCTCGTACTTAACGTAAACATTTTAGTCCATGAAATGGAATATAAACGTACACTTAGCGAAAAGGGCATATTAAGAGGATGCACGAATGTCACTGAAAAATTAACCGCGGTAATTGAAGAAGTGAAAGTTAAATAACAGTTTTACCAGCGTCGGCCTGCTGCAGCTGCTCTGCTCCAGGCCCAGCTTCAGGGTCGTTCTTGGGTAGTAGTAGCTTCTTCCGATGCATATCCGCCAGAGCGTCCCAAGCCTCCTTCGCCGAGCTGATTTCCCGTATCTCGTGGAGCACGTCGCAGCCCAGCGAAATCTGAATCGCGTGCAGAGCCGCCGCATTCTTCCTCCGCCGCCCGGCGGCGGCGTCGGTAGTAACAGTGGCAGGGGAAGTAGTAATTTCAGGGGAGTCGACTAAATCCCAGAGATCTTGGGATATGAGGTAGGTTTTCAGGCAGGCGAGCCAGTTGTCGTAGGATTTGATGTCCCCTGCGGCCTGGAGAACGTCCCTGGTCGGGATGATGAAGTGGGTCGTCGCCATTTTTTTGTGTGCGTGTAAAGCTTTGGGAGAACAGAGCTGCAGAAAGAGAGAGGCTCTCGTGAAATTTTCTGTACTAAGGATACAGACTTTTTAACAATGTGAGATTCTCCTTTTGGAGAGAAAGGGAAAGGATGATGATTACTGACCGGCCCTTCCTTTCCTCTCCTCCGTTTGTGGTTTTGGAACAGAGTGACAATGAGAGTCTGTGGAGGTGGAAGACGAAAGTGGTGAGTCAGGGCCACGTTTGACGTTTTGTTTAGGGTTTTTGAGCAGCCAATTGAACGGTTCCAGGTTATGCCACCTATATGCTGGCCGGTACAATCGGGTTTAACTGGTATGAGACAAAAATCGGCTGGAAGACTATCAAAACCTAATGATTTGAAAAAAAAATCGTATCGGAGGTTCTGCCGAAAAAAATTCGATGGTACGGTCATTTACGTTGGAATCGTGATTGTTTCACACCCGAACGGTTGCTCCTCCTATAAGAAATTTTTCGGGTTGAACCGCCGGTATAGTACCGTTTTTCAATCCCTGAGAACCAATACAAGAACGATATGCCATGAAGGTCAGTTTTCGGCACAACAAACATGATGTCGTTTTTTGTTGTTGTGTGGAATTAGCTGACAAAAATAAAGAAATTTTCGAATTCAAATATGAACATTTAGATATTGTTCTTATCTGTTGGATTCAAGTATAAACTTTTGGACATGTTAACTTGAAATGTCACAATTAAATATAATGATTTGTCATTTAGTTTGTGATGTTTTATTTTAGGGTTAATATTTTCGTATGGCCTGAACTTTGACCAAAATAAACATCCTGGCCAATCTTTTCGATCTATAACATCGTGGCCCGAACTATACACCAAAATAAACAATTTGGCCAAACCCGATGTTTGACAGTTAACTTGGACGGTCAAACGAGTTGACTAACGGTCAACGCGCTACATCACTGCCAAGTCAGAAGATCTGTTAAATATTTAAATTTTTTGTTTTTTATTTTTGATTTAACTTATAAGGTATTAGATGATTTTTTTAATTTGTAATAATTTAAAATTAGGGAATGGGTGGAAATTGTGAATTATTTTAAATATTTTATGCTGACTTGGCAGTGACATGGCGCGTTGACTAACGGTCAACGCGTTTGACCGTCCAAGTTAACGGTCAAAAGTCGGATCTGGCCAAATTGTTTATTTTGTTGTATAGTTTGGGCCAGGATGTTATAGATCGAAAAGATTGGCCAGGATGTTTATTTTAGTCAAAGTTCAGGCCATACAAAAATATTAATCCTTTATTTTATATTAAATATGGATGGACATTATATGTAGACTGTCTTTTTTTTTTATGAATGATGATGCAAAACTTTTATTGCAAAAATGAATGGAGACTTGCCAAAAAATGGCAGAGAAACTGACAGACAAAGAAGAAGAAGAAAAAAAAGATAGGTTATACAAATGCACAATTCATTTTATGCTAGTTGTTTCTCATTTCCTCTTTTGTTTTGTTAAAATCAACAAAAATAGATATATAAACAGATTGTACTCCGATCGAACCATACCAAAGCTTTGCTTTTTAGTGGGGATGGTAGATCTCCACTTGATCGTTGATCCGTCAGACAGATAATCAAACACGGATTTACCTTGATTTGCCAGACAGATACAAAGTAAAATTTTCCTCACAGAAATGAAAACCATGACATTAAAGTTATAATGTTAATGTCTGGTAGCACCGATGTTACGCACACCTTTCGCGCCCAGTATCATATTTACAAGAGTATATTCAAACAAATCAACAATCAATAAAAGGACAAACCCGCTCGAAACCCGACCCAGTTTCCACGGGTCAAAGACTCAAAAGCCAGGGCTTCATCTTCCGGTCGAACGGGTTGGAATGCGGCCCGGACCGGTTCGACCTGAAGATCTGAACCAGCAGCGGAAACTGCAGCAGCAAAAACAGCGTCACCGGCACGGCGGCCATCATCACAATCGGGACCACGAACAGCGGCCGGTGGTCCATGACGATCATCACGGTGGCGCAGAACGTCACCATCATGGCGGCGATCGACACGAACAGCGTCGACAGCCCGATCACGAGCTTCGTCGGCAGGGAGCGGCGGAAGTCGGCCTCGGCGTACCGCGAGGTGAGGATCCCGAGGAACATCAGCACGGAGGTCGAGGCGGCGAAGAGCGAGAGCGCGTCGGAGGCGATGAAGATCTTGAAGGAACGGTCGTGGAGGAGGATCGGGGTGCCCTTTTCCTGGTTGTTGCCGCCGGGGACGGTGCAGGCGGCGGTGAACATGATGGTGATGATTAGGGAGCCGACGACGGTGGAGGAGGTGGCGGTTTCCTTCATCCATTTCTCTCCGGCGGCCGCGTCGTCGGCGGAGGAGCGGTGGCCGAAGGATTCCTTGCTTTTTGTGCTGGTGAGCTTGTGGAGGTCGCATGTGGCTATGTTGGTGATGACGTCGTTGTTGTTGTTGTTGATGTCGCCGGCGTCGAAGGAGGAGGAGGAAGGGCTCATCGTCATCGCGAAGCTGTCGGACGGTGACGGTGGCGGGGAAGGGTCTAGGAGTCTATTGATGTGTATTACTGCTGCACACGATGTAACCTTAGTTAATTAGTATGTCATATATGGTACGAAAATATACTATATAGTTAAAAACAAGTTTGCAGGTCGTAGTATCGTTGTCATGATATCGTTGAACTACTAGTCTGTTTACGAGTGTAACTTAATTGAATGAAGATAAAAACAAAAGAGAAGAGTAACATGAATATGTATTGAGTAGTACCTAAAAAACAGATTGGGATCCTGTTATAGGGCATTAAAGTAGATCGAATAATAACGTAATGTTACGTTACAGATGTTGGTATTCGTATTTGGAGGACGACTACTTAGCATATCCAATGCAGTGTCGACTGGCTTCCGCCATTCATTCAATGTATCCAAAGTAGAAGATTTCGAATTCATCATGCATGTCTTACTCATAATAGTTTGGCATAAAGAAACAATAAAAAGTTTCAGCACATGAATTCTCGTAATACATCATTTCAAGTTGTCAAAAATTTCCTTTAATCTGTAAAAAAAACTTAGTTTTTCCTCAAAGGACATATGGTAATGGTTCGAACCCCATACCGAAGATTAACTCAATGTATTACGTGCCCTTCCATAACAAAATTATCAACTAATGTTCCTTAAATGGTGATAATATTTGTATACACATTAGCTATATAGCCTATTGATGCCTGATGCTGCGAATGGACCGTAACATGTTGATGGATGATTCTTGCGATTGGAGATTTAAGGGTTTTTTTCACTCTTCATAAGATTTTGTTTCAAAGATTCAGAGTAGTTTGAGAGGGGAGTGGAAGATGGGGAGCTTTGACTCAGAGTAGAGAGCGGCACAGGGGAAATCGTGTCATGTTTCGTTGGAGAAGAGAGAGAGAAATCGAGAGAGAAACATACAGGCGTGAATCATCACTCGTCACTTAAGGAACGCTCTTACATTTTCCGTCCCTTGGTGTGCCGAGCACGAAAAAATCAAACGGCTACGACTCATCTAAAGCGAACCGACCGCTGAATAGGTTACGAATCGTTTTAACAAGTCAATTACTGACCTAACCCGATCCCTAAACCCTAGGTCACGACCTACAACTAGATGTCCATGAACCGCACTCATTGTTTGCCACTGCCCTTCGGTGGGGCAAAAGACAAAGATAATGATCGAGTGAAGCAATTTGAGCCATATATTTGTGTCTGACCAATTCGTTTTAGTGAGTGGGGGTAGCTCTAATGGCCATGAATGGATTTAACAACTAACTGGAGCCTACTCTCTGCGATTATGATCTCCACATTGTCCCCTTTCTCTTTGGACCCTTTTTTTTATTTTTTTCAAAGCAGATTTAATTATCCACGAAGGTCACCAAGTTGCCGGTTGCTGTTCCTCCGGAGGACCCCATCAGCTCCTCCAAGTTGCTGCTGGTATGAGTCGGATTAGGTTTGGATAATTTTGTATTTTTGTTTTTGGAGTCGGTATCATATCTAAACGAAAATGAATATTCGAATAAGTTTTTGTCTTTTTTTATTTATTTTTGCTATGAGACAGATAGAAAGGCCGAAACACCACCACTAAAAGTTGTGGTTGAGTTGAATGCGGTTAATGAAATAGTCGATATTGTTGTGTACAATCATCTGGACACAAATGCGACCTATTTGAATCGGTCTCAAGAAAAAACTACCCCTAATTTGGACTCAATCAAACTCAACTCAAAATCTAAAATCATTAAAAAAAAGTGCATATGAGTCCATTTGGGTCCGACTTAATACTCAACGAGTCATTTCTTAGAACTGTTGTTTATAACTTCAGAATTAAGAATATGACGGTATGCGATCAATAATGATTGAATCAATTTGTCTCACGAAACATTTCTTATATCTGCTATTCGTTACTTAAGAACTAAGAATGACCACGTTCTTAGTTCTTAAGTTACAAACACCCGATGACGCGCGCTGTGTTTCCGGTTGGTTATCATTTTTGCTTGGCTGAGTTAAATCATTTTGCTCTTAGATTGCGACAACTTTGTTGTAGAACTCATACTTAATGCACATATTTTAGACCACAAAATGGTAAACTTACACTTAGCGGGGAAAAAAAAAGGCTTTATATGACGAGGCAAGAATCTCACTGGTAAAATTAACTGCGGTAATTTAAGGAAATTAAAACACGCCAGTTCGATTAAATAACAGTTTTACCAGCGTCGGCTTGCTGCTGCTGCTCTGCTCCATCTCGCGGCTCGTTCTTGAGCTTCTTCCGATGCATATCCGCCAGAGCATCCCAAGCCTCCTTCGCCGAATCGATTTCCCGTATCTCGTGGAGCAAGTCGCAGCCCAGCGAAACCTGAATCGCGTGCAGAGCCGCCGCATTCTTCCTCCGCCACGCCGGAGGAACTACAGCAGCAGCAGCAGCAGCGTCCTCGGCGGCGGCGGCGGAGGCGGAGGCAGGGGAAGTGTTTTCAGGGGAATCGATTAAATCCCAGAGATCTTGAGAGAGGAGGTAGGTTTTCAGGCAGGCGAGCCAGTTGTCGTACGATTTGATGTCCCCGACGGCCTGGAGAAGGACCCTGGTCGGGATGATGAAGTGGGTCGTCGCCATTTTTTTTAGTGTGTGTAAAGCTTTGGGAGAACAGAGCAACACAAAGAGAGAACAGAGAGAGAGAGAGGCGGAAACAAACTAGAGGCTCTCGTGAATTTCAGTACTAAATGGGTTTTGCGCGCAGCGGATGGAAGGAAAAGGGTACAGACTTTTTTTAACACTGTGAGATTCTCCTTTTGGGGAGAAAGGGAAAGGATTGACGATTGCTGAGCGGGCCTCACCTTTCCTCGTCCGTTTAACGGAGTGAAAATGAGAGTTCGGTGGTGGAAGACGAAAGTGGCGACTGGCGAGGGCCACGTTCTCCCTTCGTTTCGGATTTAAGCAGCCAATTGAACGGTTCCAGGTTTATAGCAATACGGGTAAATGCTGGCCGCTACAATGAGGTTTTATGGTGTTGGTGGACAAGAATCGGTTGGTAGACCATCAATATGATTTGGGTTTGTCAAAATCTAAGTAAATCATCGAAAAAAATCGTACTAACCAGAGGTTATATCGAAAAAGTTAGCGTATGGTATTTCATGTTGAGATCGTAATTCAACCGTTTCATACCATCTGCTGATAGGAGATTATTTTTCCCCTAGTCGAATCGTCAGTACGAGATGGTTTTTCGATTACCTCGAAACAACGGCGGATCCAGGACACAGTAGAGCACTAGGCCGAATTTCATAAAAAAATTAGATGCCATAAAAAATCACAGTTTTTTTATAATATCAATTGTACACGTCGATCTTTTACATTTTAATATAGTGAATTCATCAATAATGGAGTTTACATCCATAACAATAACATACTCTCTTCAAGATAAAATAGTTAACCAATTGGCGAGAAATTTATCGCTCATTTTGTTGCACACATAATTGTTCACCTATTCCATTGTTGAAAATGTTCTTTCCATAGTAGTTGTTGAAACGAGCAATGTCAACACTGGACAATCAACCGACTAATCAATATATAGTGTGTATCAATTCATATTTTCACCAGCTGCTCTAGTAATTTCCTAAGGAAATAAACCTCATATTTCTATTCTTTTACGTTTAGAATTTTAGGTTTCATTGTTTGTTTTTCTTTAGATGAGAATCATTGGAGCTAGAATTTCAGACTAAATCTAAAGTTGTGATTTGAATATGTTCATCTTACCAATTTTCCTAATTACACACAATTTTATTATAAAATAACACTGGGCCGAATGAATAAAATCGATAAACTTATAAGGATTATACTAGCTCCGAATCCAGGGGAGGGTTGGGCCGTGGCTCAGGGCGGCCACCCCCTAGATCCGCCACTACCTTGAAACCAGTACAAGAATGATATGTCAGGAACATCAGTTTTTCGACACAACAAACAACATGACGTTTTTTTTTGGGTGGAATCAACTGACCAAAAAAAAAAGTTTGTCGGATTCAAATAATGAACATTTAGATATTGATTTTGTCTATTGGATTCTAAGTATAAATGTTTTGGATGTTGATGTTAAATGTTGCATTTAAATATGATGATTTGTCATTTTATTTGAGATGTATTTTATATTAAATATGGATGGTGATTATATGTAGACTGGTTTGGTTTAAGATAGATTATACAAATGTACAATTCATTTTATACTAGTTGTTTCTCATTTCCTCGTTTGTTTTGTTAAAATCAGCATAAACCGATATATAAACACCGATTGTACTCCAATCAAACCATACCACTTATTGGATAACAGTACAAACCGGTTTGATCAACGGAGCTCTGAGATTTTTTTTTTTTTCCTTTGCAGATGAAAAAGAAAGCTTTGCTTTTTATTGGGGATGGTATTCCTTAATTAATTGGAGATGACAGATCAATCACAACAAATCCGAGTAATTTCCACCAAATATATGAACGGGTGATTTCGGCACAGTTGACTTCGACTAAAGTAATTTTGACTACCAATCCATCACATTACTAGTACTTGGACTTTTCTGCTCCATGTCTCGTCAACATTGAAGCACGGGTGTGAAAAACCAACTTTCTCTGAAATGTCTAGGTTATTTTGCAATATATATGGAATTTTTATTCGTTGATATTAAAGTACAAACAAGATAAAAAAAATTAGACGACACTTGAAATTAGATCGAGCATGATCATACAATCATGTAGGAGGAGTTGTGAGGGAACTTGCGATAGCGATATTCAATATGCTCAAATATTTGTACTATGTGGGATTGCTTCGATCTTTCTCGATTCAAAAATATCACACATAGTTGTCACTGCCGCTTAAAATCTCAAAAGCGAAGATTAATAAATAAATAAAAAGTTACTGAATGAACACCTAACAATCAGATCGAACCACATACAGAAAGAAAAAGTCATCGAACTCGAGGGCAACCATCGATTATCCTCCCACACATACGCGTGGAAATACTACGATCTATTCAATTCCATATGATTTACCAATCGAACAATTATGAAAATCAAGAAAATTCATTTAAGTCCAACGCCAAAACTCTAAACAACTTGATTTTGAAGTTAAAATAAGAAGAGAAAAATGATTACGAGTCAAAGCCAGGGTTTTCTATTTCTGTTGAAGATGCTCGGCCCGTAGGTCGACATGAAAATCTCAATGAGCAACGGAAACCGCAACGACCCTATCTATTATGCACATGGTATTCGGACCTTTACAAACTTCAACCTTGTATATGGTCGCTTTCGTTTGAAGGGTTGTGTTAGTAAGTGTTATATGATACATAATTGAATCTCTCCCAATAATTTGAGTTATTGACAACATAAACCAATTGGTCCCTATAAACTCAAGTTGTTGGAATGGGTCCATGTATGATACTTAGCCACTTTCTTACACGCCCCCTCAAATCAAAAGCAACTCGTGGGCTCAAAGTTTGTCCATGTGCTTTAAGATAACAGTTAATATTGGGGGGGGGGGGGGTCCTGTGGATTTAAACACGTGACATCAAGGACAAATCAGATTTTGATACCATGTCATAAACCAACTGATTCAACTAAATCATGTTGTTGAGAGATGTCGATGTATGATATTTAACCACTTCCTTACTATCGACACCAACTGGTTTTTTATAGTAATATGACTAACCTGAAACCACTGAAGTTCTCTCTGCATCTGAAGAGCCGCACCGGAGATGTGAGAAAGATTAGCGCAAGGTGTTAACATGGCGGCCACGTGCAACATCGTGTTCTTCTCTACTGTACATTCAATACCTTGTCGACCAACGACAGTTTCAGTGTTGCTCATTAAACCCATCCCAAAGTTGTCCTCTTCTGGGTGCAAAGGACCAGGTAGGCTTACCCTTATATCTTCCAATCCATAGATATAAAACAAAAAAAAATGTCTTACAATCTAGGGGTAACACATAAAAGAGATTAGGAAGGAGTTATTGGAACTCATTGGTTATCGATTTGACATTCGAGTTTTTTTTTTATCAAAGAATCTCAGGTTCTAATCATGATGATTTGAATCTGTCACAATAATTCGAATTATTATAAATAACTCGTTCATGGCAGAGACAATTGATAGAAGAAAAAAAAACTTACATGAGTATAAGGTTCTTAGATAGGAGGCAACTGGACTCCCGCTGCCGCTGGGGAATGAAGCCGACATGAGAGATAACTGAATAGCAGCATTAAAATTATTGACATCCATGATTGTAGCCATACTTGGGTGACGCTTCAGCATATCCAGTGCAATGCCTGCTCAGTCTCCCATATATAATTGTTTCTCAGTGTTTGCCGAAATAATTGTCATATATACAGGCAGGGTGTTTCGACAGATCAATTAAAAAAAACGAGATAATTTGATCAATTGTCTGATTTTTATACAACGACTCAATTCAAAACAGAAATCACCCCAAAATGAATCAATTCGAAAATTTTCAAACCAGATCGATCCATTTTAATCATTTTTTTGTTGACAAACGAGTCAACTTGACTTGGTTATTTGAAAAAAAAAAGAGACAATTATCTTAAATTATTTTGAGTATCTCATCAGAACGCGACCCCGACATAAAAAAATGAATGAATCAAAACTTACCCCAACATTCCACGGTGGATGCCAAACTTCAGCACGCCGGCACCGTGCTTGCCGCCGTTCTCGTCGAACAGCAACCTCAGCGGAGTGGCGATGTACAGCAACTTGACCAGGTCGGAATCGCCCTTCCGTGAAGCCTCTTCCACCGACAGGACCGCTTCCTGTTGACTTATTTTACCGCTGAAAATGGCGGCCATGTTCTTGTTTCTGTACACCATCTCTCGCACCATCCGGCGGTGGCCGCCGGCCACCGCAATGTGAAGCGCCGTGCAGCCGTCTCCGTCTTTCATTTCGAGGTCCTCTTCTCTCATTGCCCGCATCAGCTCGTGGCCGACCTCCATGTGTCCGAACTTGGCCGCCAGATGGAGTCCGGTCCCCCGCTGCTCGCCGGGGAACCGCCTCGACGCCGAATCTGGGTCTCGGCAAATCAAATCACGTAATTTGACTACGTCACCTCGACGTATGCAGGCTTCTAGCTCCGTCAAGTAGGGGTGTACATGGGTCGGGTGGTTCTGGTTTAGTCATCTTAATCACCCTACTCATGCACTACGGTTTGGGAAATATGAAACCCAAACCCACCCAAAAAAATTTAAACCCTACGGTTTGTTTCTAATTGGATTGGGTCGGGTTGGCGATATTTTTAAGTAAAAACTCAACCCAACATAAAATATATAATTATTCTACATCATAAAAATATTTTATAACTAATTAAAATTTCAAACGAATGAACCAAGGTGAAAGGTATCAAAATTCACAAATGTTGTTTAAATTTTAATAAAATGTGATTTACTTCAACATATGTCTTGTTTATTTCACGATATTTGTTGAAATAGGCTAAAAATGTTATAAACAAACGCATCCATCATATGTTATTCTATTAAAATTGTACACAAGAAAAAGGATTACGTGAATCATAACTATATTCAATTTATGTCTAAATTTTAAGTCGAAGAATGCATTAGATTAGGGAGACCATGAGAGAAAAACATGGTGAATATCTTAATTTCTCATAAGTATATGACTATATACGGCATAAATATTTTTTAGATCCGAACTCATACTAATAGTTGGAACACGGGTTGGGTCGGATTTTACAGGTTGTGTAATCCAAAATCCAAACCCAACCCAAAAGAGGCGGGTTGTACAAAAGAAAATCCTCACCCAACCCAAAACCTTCGTTTTAGCGATAAATACGGGTGAGTTGGGTCGGGTTGGACGGGTGGGTCGGTTTGCGGGTTTGTTTGTTCACCCCTACCGTCAAGTACTCGTCGGGCGTCGGCTGGTTAACCTCTGCATCGCAACCACGATTATGAATATAAAAACTAAATTTTTACAAAAAAAAAAAACAAAACTATTGCTATAACTTTGAGACAGATTAATTATATCTCGTCGATCGAAAGTCATAGGGCTACTCAATTAATCAAATTCTGTAATTTGTATATGTTTGGATGATCAATTCTACGGATTAATCTGACACAATTGTATAGTATTGAGACAATTGGGCCACATTTACCCATTTGGCAGCATAAATTTTGGAAGAAAGCAATTTGGTCTGGGGAAAAATTTCTGATTGACTCAGATAATTGGAATTGACTCTTAAATACTATTTTTTTTAAACGAAACAATTAATCAAATTGTCTGGTTTTGCAATTGATTAGTCCAAGGTCCAAAAGATCTAAATTCGTTACGAATACTTCATATTCACAGATTGACTGCTCACTACACATCGTATTATTCAATCACATAAATAATCTACGTTGTCGATTTCTCAATTCATTACCACAAAACGGAATGGTTTTACCTTGTACGTCGAAGCTTGCTTGGCGGAAGCAATCCCCCGAATCTGCCGGAGAACGCCGCCGCCGCACGAGAACGTGATCGCGTGCAGCGCCGCCGCGTTCTTCCGCCGCCAGTCATCATCTTCTTCCGAGGAAATCGGCTGCTCGTCGTCGTCAACGATGATGAAGCCGTGCCAGAGATCTCGAGAGAGGAGGTAACTCTGGAGGCAGTCGCTCCAGTCCTCGTAGCTGATTCTTCCTCCTCCTCCACCGCCGACCTCAAGCACTTCCCTCGTGATCATAATCGCCATTGATTACTCGAGAAATATTACTTGTAGTACTGGGAGAGACAGAGAGACTAGAAGTCTGCAACTAGCATTATTTTGTAATTTAACAACTCGATATTTTATGACGACTTCGTCGATTAGCAAACAACTTGAGATATTTAACAATTGACTCAGCAACGACCAGAGAGAGCCACTTCCAATCCACTAACCATGGAAGAAAAATAGATTGTCACATGTGTTGGCAAAACATGCGTGTTTTTTTCTTAAATTTGGAATTTTTTTCAAGTTATGAACATTTTCTTTAAATTTAACTTACGCGTGACAGTCAGTCCTTATAATAACGGCTTGAGATAGGGTGAATAATCTTAGAGTGAGTAACAATGAGTAACCAAATCTGGACCCTTCTTTTAAGTGACTCCAGATCTAAGAGTGGAGAATTAAAGAAATTGATTTTTCCTAGTTTTCTTAATTGGATCATATCTTCTTCATTCTAACTCGGATTTCAATTTTTTGTTTGTTTGCACAGATGGAACGAGTTCGTTGTGCTCTGCAAAATGATATCACTTTCAATATTTTTTGATAATTTTTTTTTCATCCCTCTCGTTACCAACTCCATACCATATGGTATATCCTTCGTTGTTTAGTCATTTTCGGAAATTTTTGCACAAAAGGAACGATTTAATCATGATCTATTGGATTTCAAAATTTTAAGGGGGAAAAAATTTCAAACCTCTCGTTACCAACTCCATACCATACTATACCACCCTGGTATGAGGTGGTATTCTTCATACCATATGGTATGTTGTTATTTAATACCATATGGTATTGACTGGTATTAAATAACAGCATATGGTATTGGCTGATATTTTTCATACCATATGGTATGCTGTTATTTAATACAAGTCAATATCATATGGTATTGACTATACCATATGGTATAGGCTGGTAATAACTGGCAAATTTTTTTTGTTTCAAAAAATATTAAAGTGGATATCATTTTGAAGATCACAATTAATCTGATATAACTGTGCAAAAAAATTAAATTCCGAGTTAAAATGAGTGAGAAATCGTCCGTTAAAGATGAAGAGAAAAAAATTAATGATTTTTCCAGGAGAGAGAAGGAGGCGCTGATGTGACAGATTCTTATTGGGTTATGCATGAGATTACTCACCACAAGGTTACTCACCGGATCTGCTCCCTATAATAACCCGTCAAATGTATGATGGTACAATTAAAAATAAGGATAATGTTTATTTTTTTATCCAAACCTTTTTCCAAATTCTTTTATATTATTCAAACCTATCGAAATACTAAGAATTAGCAAGATGTTAACTTTTAGTTAGCAATTTTATTAGTAATATTGACTTGGCAACATGATACTCACTTGGAAGAGACACATGAAGGCCAACATTCTAAAATTTTAGTATTTTAACTAAGAAAAGAGTTACAAAATTATTAACGATAACGTAAAAATGGTTAATATTTTGATACATTACGAAAGATTTTGATAATTAATAGCATTTTAATAAGATTGGATAATATAAAAAAATCGAAAAAAGGTCTGAATAAAAAATAGACATTACCCTAAAAATAATAATAAGCTAAAATTAATCTTCTAAAATTTTCACTTCGTTGTCACATTCATTAAAGGTAAAGGTGTAAAGTGAAATTATTTTTGCAATATTGATTTTACATTTAATTAATATATGTAGATTTTACTGTATTAGAGTGGAAAAGATTGAGCTACTGAGTGTATTAATGAGTCAATAGGAGTTAAATTCAAATTGAGATTAAGCCAATTTTTTTATAAATGAGTTGAGTTCAAGATCGACTCATATTTTGGTTCAAAAAAAAAAAAAAGATCGACTCATATTTTAATCAATTGAACCTGAACTATGTTAAACCTCTTTGCAACCGTAGTTGAAACTACAAATATATAGCTCTGAAATCCATTTCCTAATCTACCCCTTCCACATTAAACTAGTAACTAGCTTTTACCCGGTCCGTTGGCCGGAATATCTTAAACTATAAGGCTTGAACCAGTCCTTCAGCCGGAATATTTCAATTTATTTTTTGATAATTTATCTCAAATTATTACTTTTATCTTTAATTTAATATGACAATTAATTGGTTGGTGATCTCCCAAAAACATATTTACAATCTATTTGCTTAATATGTAAATACTAAATTGGGTTGTGCATGACCTAATTGAGTTTGCTAAAAAATAAACGTCAATGTGGAAGAAACATGCCAAATTGAGGCGGGGAAGCCTCAATTAGTTTATGTGACCCTAAAATTTCTTTGCATTATTTTATTGGGATGAACTTTGCCTTAGAGATTTTCCACGAACTTGCTTAAACCTCTATCATTCATATTCTTGCCCATCCCCCTAATTTTAAGCCAAACCTTGTCCACAACCAACTCAGTTGCTTCCCCCACCGCTTTGAAACTCCAACAGTAGTCGCCTCCATAATCTCACTCTCACTCGTCCAGCTATGCAATGGTAGTTGGTTTAGTAGACACGCGAGCCGCAAACACTCCTCTCAACTTAATTTTAACATGTTTCTCGGATCCGACGTGTGCATATCATGTAACTTGGTGGACATTTTTTTATAGTCATATGAGAAAAGCGAATGAAAAATCAATTGGGACGACAAATTGTCTAATTGGGGATACTGCCTCAATTAGACATTTTGCCACCCCAATTGGTCTTTAGTTATCTAAGTTACCCTGCCTCAATTGAGTATTTTGCCACCACAATTGGTCTTTGGTTATCCGGGTATCCTAATTATAGTGATGCTTTGCACCCGTCCGTCTAAAGAAAGTTATCATCCTTTAATTCTCAAGAAAACATAATTAGTCTTTTTCAAATATATTTCAATACTTTCTTATACGAACAATTAAGGGAAAACAAAGAAAAAAAAATCTAATAACTAATCTAAATTTAGTGAATTGAAAGCATTTTGTATACAGGTAGACAATTGGCTCGTGCTTCGCAATAGGAATATTATTGTTGATTTATTGAAATATGGTCTTCGACTTGAGTTCAATTGTAGCTTTGCAGGTTACATCTCGTTTATCGGGGGGAAAAACTATTCGGCCTAGTTTCCATCATCACATTGAAATTCTACTAACAAATAACAGTCCACAGCTCAGCTAACAATCTAGAGTAACCTGTATCTAGTCCATATTAGGATAGTTTTTTCTTTATTCTTTCAGCATCATCATCTACTTGATGAAAGCTTCCACTCTGTTTTGCCTACAAAATATGAGTTGATATCAGAAGGAGCAGGTGAGTAGTCTTTCTATATCATGATACAATTAGGTGGGACTTGGGGAGAAAAAACAATTTCATCATTTTTTCTACACTAAAGTCAAATTATTGTTTCCTCGAACCCAAACGACAACATAACGACACTTACCTAATTATGTTAAAGCATCGCCAATATGATTAGTGAGATCCTAATCAAAGATCAAAAACCATAGTAAGTTTAATGGAGCTTGTTCCTAGAATATCATGATCAATGCAGTCAAAATCGCGTTTTAAAACTTTAAATTTTACGGTTATACGCTTCTAGATTACCAAAACGCTTTGGTTTTCATATAAATTTTTTAGTATATAAATAATATTAAATTGCACTTTAAGACATTTCTGGTTCACTAAATAAGTAATATTTTCATGAAATTAATTATAAAAAGTATATTTTAAAGGTAAATCATCAACAATATGATACATTTGAGATTAAAAGATGCATATCAGGTACTTGGATGCATTCTCAGTTTCAATAGAGTAATCTAATTCACCAGCTAAGCCCTTCCCAAATTCATTAGCATAAAGAGGAAGGTGACTTATTCCTAAGATCTATGTTTATGAATTTATTGTTAAGATGATATAAGTTGCTCTACTTTAGACATGATTCGCAGGTATTTATTAACTTAGTTAAATTTTGTGCACTCATATTTTGCATAGTATATGTCGTACTTAACAGGTTTTTAGCTATTATACAGTATGCGTAAAAAACTTACGCTTTTACGCTTTGATTCTATGTTTTACGATTTTACCCATTTTCCGCTTTTAGGTAAAATCGCGCTTTTAACCGCATTGATCATGATGAATTTAAATAAGACTGAAGGTTAAAGAGACCGTATAACCATTGACACTAACTTAACATGAAAATCAACCTAGAATCGATACTATATTAATTGTTCAATTTTAATACAACTTACTTTAGCAACGACTTACTTTAACTCGACAAAGATCCTATCAAGATCACCCTTGCTTATGATATAAAGCTGAAAATAGAAATCAGAATATCAGATCCACCAAAATTAACAAACAAAAAATCAGTATCCAATGGTTGAACAAAAATCATAAAAGAAAATACTAATGAACAAACCGTTAACATGTTGTTCCGACCTGCAAAGTGCTTGCACCAAATCACACAAACCAAGTTGTTCCATCAGTGTTCCAATCCCGCTGATTCCATAGAAAAGCTTCAATCATATTAATCCCATGTGTTTTAAATTAATAAACCTAGGAATTGAAAGCCACAAAATAAACCATGATAAGAACAAATTACCACCAAAGGAGTCAATAATTGAAAAACACTCCAAACACCCTCTGCCTTTTCAGTTGTTGGAGGGAATCAATTTAGAGAGATTTCTCATCCACTGCAAATCCTTCGTCGGTCTATCATGTAACTGAAAAAGCAAGGGAACAAAAATACCATTGATCAGATTGCCATTAAAAACAAAAGAACGAAATGAAAGCAAGAAAGGAAACTTTCCACGAAAGATTAACATGCCACCATAGAGTATACCATCATCAGTTCTTGGGTATCATGCAGTGACAAACTTCACTCACAGATTGGTAGACAACCACAGAACTACCAACATCAGAGTGAAAACTCCTAAAGCTGGAACCTTCTGCCACTGTAGGCGTGTTCAAAATCACACAAAAAACTTAGATTAAGACATTGGAGAAGAGGATAACGAAGACAAACAACGGTGTATTAGACTGCCAAAAAGCTTATGGAAGAACCAAAGTCATTATCCAGATCTTCTCGATCCTTGTTGAGCAAAACCGAGCCTAAAAAATCATTTAGTAAGGTAATAACCAGGGATAATCAAGAACAAAGCAAACTCAAACATAAAGTGAAAAGAAATGGAGAAGGAATTTTAAGAAGCATATCTAAGAAGGAGTTCAAAAACCACCTCCGACAATCAGAATCTCTGACGCATCGCCAATTTTTGTTCTGATAAGAAAAAAATACGTCAAACAGACAATGAGAGAGAGACACACACATCTACGAAAAGAGAGATTAGTCAACAAAACATGCGAATCAGGTTGACCTTTGACACCCTCTAGACCAACAAAATTTGACATTGATCTCTTCATAATTGAAGCATCTCTGGGTTCTTTTGCTTTTTAGCTGAGACTCGACGGACAACTTCCACTGAAACCCCTATCAACAAACTAATCTCCTAAAAAAAGAGATGAAACAGATCCTTCTGAGCAGAAATGGAGAGCATGATGGCCAAGCGGACGAAGCAAGATCCACCATAGAGGAGGAGGAAGATTCACCATATAAGGAGTTGGAATACATGGTATAACATAACTCCATATAATATTTTAGAAAGACAAACACTCAAGTGAAATCCATGCAAACGCCTTACCAATGAAAAGGAGAAGGTAAGATAATCCATTAATCAAGTGATGCTTTGTTAAGAACTAAATTCATTTTATTCGCATTCTGTGGTTCCTTAAGCAGAACATGATGATTGCCACGATCCTAATCCACTTATAGAAACAAAAACCAAAAACAAACTCACAATGACAGCATAGCAAATGACATAACATTCATAAGAGTGAATTAGTAACTCTAAAACAACCAGCAAGTTCTCTGTTGTGATATGGGCTACAGTAACAACAACGACAAGAAAGAAAAATTAAAGCTTCGGATGATCCTGTAGCTTTACTACAGCATCACAAGCAATCTCGACGGCGATGGTTACAAACTTGGGCACAAGAGAGGAGACACGGTAGTAATCTATTAAATTCAAAGATTTAATAGTGTGAAAATGAAAGTAGAGAGAGATGACTAACATGCCATATAGTAGAGCACTCTTTGATCACTGTCTTCTCCAGCTTCTATCCCGTATCCTACTTCAATTATGCAAATTCATTTTTCCAATCCTTTCAGTCAATCAAGTTCGTAGTCTTCCATGTCGGACGAAGCCAAAGCCATGGGCAACGCAACGTTCTCCGTTGGCGATTACACTACCACAATCAACACTTCTCTAACATCATCACCCTTGCTCCCACTAACTACGCCTTTTATATTATTTCCGTTCCTTTATGTTTTGTTGTTTTCAGGGCTCGATTGCCATTCGTCATCTGGCATTTTCCTACTTCTATCCTTATTAACAATTGTGCATGAAAGAGACCTCTACACTCCATGCACATTCTCAACAACACATTTTATAATTCTTTTGACCTTGGCCCTTGACAAAAAGAGGCAGCTTTGATGCACCTGGCACCTCAGATAGATTGCTGCAATTCAGCAACATTTCCCTCATCGGTAAGCAGATCCAGATTCAGTACTGCTTCGGTGAGCTCCAAAGTAGAAACATAGGAAAAACCCCCTCACTCAAGTCACCCTCTAGTCCCTCTCTTACACTCCATGTTCCTAGAACTACAGTTGTCCAAAGAAGGAATCAACACCCAGCAAACAAAGATGACAGGAAGTGAACTTCAAGAAGTCGCAAAATCAAGTATGCAATCAGAAAGAAGAGGAACGTTAATGTGTAAACTGAAGCAAGAAAAAGGTTCTAATAACAAAATGGCGCTTATATAGAAATCTAAAGGAGAAGGAGAAGGTAGCAAAAGGACTGAAGTATAAAGCATAATCATGTATAATAACAATGTGGCAACCTATAGTGAAGCAATTCCAAGGCTCAAGAACTTGAAATTGTCTCTGCATTTGACTCAAAGAAGTGAAGTTAAGAACCCAACCACATTAGAAACACATCCATTGCTAACTGAACAAAGTAAATGAAGTTCATCACTTACCCGTCCCTTTCAATATGATCAAACTAAAAGTTCCCATCGCTTGAACGATAAACATTGTCTAAACGTAACAAAAGAATCGAAGACATTAAGGTTACAGAAATACCAAACGATAACATTATCCCCATTGGGAAAAGCACAAACCTTACGAAAACCTGTTAAACCAAGTAACAATCTTTGGCTGCTCATCCACGGGGTAAGTGATGAACTGAAAAACTTTTGAGAAGGAGTGGAACTAAAACCCTACACCCGAAAAATAAGCTAAGGACACATTACTCTAAATCGAACCTAGTGAAAGAAGACAGTAGTACCAACTCTCAACAATATCAGACTGCTAATCTTAATGGTCGTTCTTTGTATCAATCACATAGTGTAGTGAAACATACAAGAGCAGATGATATATTTAGTTCGGAACAATTAGCACTAAACAATTGAGTACGGTGGCAGTGGACAAACCTGAAGAAGATTATGTGAGCTCCAAAGTTAAACCCAAAATTGGCAGCGATAGTTGAAGTTGAAAACCAAAACCAAAACCAAAACCTGTTGTGGCTCTTCTCCTAAGACCTGGCGTACATAGAAACACATACAGTACTGACTTATTAGAGGAAATATGCAGTTAAAAGAGAGATGAACAATCTCAGAGTGAAGGAAGCTAGGTATAAGTGAAAGATCAAGCCATAAGAATATTATTACCTTGCTGGTGACAATTGAAAGACATGGTCAGTGACTGGAAATACGAAAACTAAAGACATACGAATAAGACAACAGGCTCGATTCGGTAGTTAATGCGAAAATCAGTCTCTTTTCTATTCATTACCAAACCAACTTGAAGCTTCGCTTGACAGTTAAACATGAGACTCCTCTTCCATTATCCTCGTTAAAAGCATGATACCTTCATCCCTTTCAAAGTCGGCAGCAAGCCAATCAACGATTCTCTTGTCGAAGTCATTGCCACCCAAATGAGTATCGCCTGAGAGAGATAGCACTTCAAATACTCCATCACCAACCTCGAGAACTGAAACATCAAAGGTGCCACCACCATTATCAAACACCAAGATGGTCTCATTATTCTTCTTCTTGAACCCATAAGTTAACTAAGCATCAGTAGGCTCATTAATGATTCCAAGGACTTCTAGCCCATGAATGCAACCAACTTCCATCGTTGCTCTACTTTGAGAGTCATTGAAGTAAGCCGACACTGTGACAACAAATTTTGTCACTTTGTCATTCAGAAATTTGGAGGCATCATCAACCTATTTCTCAATACCTGAGTTGAAATCTCTACAGCAACAAATTGTTTGCCCAAAACCGGGCAATCCAGTTTGACATCATAGTGAAATTACATCACACAACCGACCCGCAACATGATTCTCAATCACGCACCCCCAACTATTCATAAGCACAATCTGAACCCTAAACCGAAAATGAAAACTGGGGATTGACAGCTTACCTGGAATCTCAGCCTCCAAAGAGACCTCAGAGGTATCTGTTTGAGGATGATGAACGAATCCAGCGCTAATCTGGCGACGTATGACAGCTCCCCGACCCACTGAAGGAAGTGGAAAGCTCCCCCGAGTTTTCCCGACCACGACCCCAAGTCCCCAACAAAGTCTTACCTGTTTAACGGAGAATTATAAGCATATGGTTGACTTCGGTCGACGAAAGTACTCTTCTTCAAGATTCCTTTGCAAGTACGACAGACTCGCGATTCAGAAGCGAGATGCGCCCTCCATCTAATTTGCACACCTAATGGAAGGAAACGATGAATCACCAATTTGAAGTGGACAGTTAGTTTTGGTCAAGCAACTCTTCTTCGATGGGAATAATTTGGTGTATCACCGATTCAAAGCGGATGATTGATTTTGGGCTATGGATTATGGAATTCTTCTTAGAGGGAGTCGAACCAGGTTGGTGGTGCTAAACTTCTTGTAGAGCATATTGCGGTTCGTCGAAAGGGATGAGAGGTTGGAGGAGAAGAGTCAGAGGTCGGTTTTTCATCCGTCTTTTTTGAATCTTTTGGGAAACCGTCGGCCCACTAAGGTACCGGAAGAAAGGAGAGAAAAAAACGCCCGCCGAAATGTCTTGCCACATCAGCTTCCGCAAATCACTCTAGGAGCAGGATTTTTTGAATGGGGGTTGCAGTTTTACTTTTCAGCTATAAATGATACTGTTGATTACTTACACAAACACAAACACAAACACTAATTAACAAGTACCCATGGATAGCAACGCTCTAACCGAATAATAATAAACTAATCAAAGTGGCTAGTACGAGGATATGCTGAATATCTCATTTTCCCAGACAAGGACAAACAACTTTTATAAAAATGATGTTGTCGGTGGGAGTGGGCAACGGTTTACACACAACCGGTTAGGTATTCAGACCAAATCGGATTTGATTGTAATTCAATTTGGTTTTGATCCTACAAATTATTTCAAATAAGAAGAAAAAAACGATTCGAAATTGAATTTGAATCGAATCGAACCAAATATATATACCAAACAAATTTTTTTTTATCTGATTCTGATGCTCGATTTTTGGTTCATTCATATTTCAATTCTCTTCAATTATGAACTGAATCGAACCGATATCCACCCCAGTCTGGTTGTTTCAATATGATTGGACGGCTACTTCGATAAATTCAGTACACCTTCTGCAAAGTCGGAACCCCAATTCCCAATTCCGCTCCTGATTGTTTCCCGGGAAAAATTCCCCAAAACCAATGGCTTCAGAATCCGAAATCGCCTTCGATTTCCCCCGCCACTTCACGGTCTACAAGGACGGACGGATCGAGAAACCCTGGACCCCGACCCAATTCTTCGTCCCGCCGGGACTCGACCCGGCCACCGGAGTCGAATCCAAAGACGTCGTCATCTCCTCCGAAACCGCCGTCAAGGCCCGCCTCTTCCTCCCCCAAATCGCCGCCGCCTCCGCCGCCCAAATCAACAAGCTCCCTCTCATCATCCACTTCCACGGCGGAGCCTTCTGCCTCTACTCCCCTTTCATCTCCCCCATCACCACCTTCCTCTCCCAACTATCCGCCGCCGCCGCCGCAATCGTCCTCTCCGTCGACTACCGCCTCGCACCCGCGCACATGCTCCCCGCCGCCTACGACGACTGCCTCGCCGCGCTCGAGTGGGCCGCCCTCCACGCCGACGGCAATGGGCCGGACCCGTGGCTGAATAATCACGCGGATCTGGGCCGGGTCGTGTTGTTGGGCGAGAGCGCCGGGGCGAACCTGGCCCATTACGTGGCGGTCCAGGCCGGAGCAAAGGGATTGGCGGGCCCGGGTGTGGATCTGACCCGGATGGTGCTGGTCCACCCGTATTTCGGCAACGAGGTGCCCGACCCGTATTACCAGTACATGAGCCCAGGAAGCTGCGGGACGAAAGGGGATCCGAGGTTTCATCCCGGGTCGGATCCGGATCTGGGGAAGATGGAGGTTGAGGAGGTGATGGTTTGCGTTGCGGAGAAGGATGAGCTGAGGGAGAGAGGGGTGAGTTATTTTGAGACGATGAGGGATGGTGGTGGATACGGCGGCGTTTTGGAGTGGTATGAGACACGAGGGGAAGGTCATTGCTTCCATTTGTTTAAGTCGGGAAGTGAGGAGGCTGGGGTTCTTATGGAAAAGATCGTTGGGTTTGTGAAGCAAGGGTTGAAAGAATAATTGTCAATTTGGGTATCAATTTGGCTTGTTAAATTGAGGGATTTGCAAATAACTCATTTTATTTTTCGTTGGGGTCATTTTATGTTAAAATGGCTTCTTGTACGTATACAACTAACTTCTATCGAGATTTTTATTTGCTTTTTCTTGTGCTATCTATGGTTGAAAAATTAACGTTGTAGCATGTTCAAATTGGGTTAGACAATAATAGCAAAATTAGGGGACGGACAAGGTGGTCATTCAATGACGATTTTGTTGCATCGATGGTGTTGATTTATATCTCATCAATCGTCGTAGCAACAACTGAATTTCCACACGGGATGGTCTTTGTGCTGTGTGGATGTTGTGCTAAGTAGCGCCATTAGTCGTGGTTCGAGGCAGACCCTGCACCCTTATCTTCACACATTGTTGAATAGAAGGTTGAAATAAAAAGGTGGTACGTGTTATTGTTGATATGATTCAGATTATTCATCATTAATTGAAAGTTACGAAGATTTTGTCATCTATGAACATAACTAACACACATCGTAGTATTTGTGAACGACATGTGTCCTTTATTTTCTTACATAAAAATCAATCAATTTTGTGAGCATAGGCTAGCTGATTTTGTACGCTGGGACCATGGAACTGGTTACGGTGCTAATTGTACAAGAGTTAGCACCGTACTAACCAAGGGTTAGTAGTGATTTAGCTTAGATGTTGTATTGATTTTATAATAATCCGTAGTGATTTCGTTGTTTTTAGTAGCGTTTTTTGCTAGTTATCACGGTGCTAACCCCTATAAGGGTTAGCACCTAATCCCATCCCCTGGGACCATGCTGTAGAGATTGAAGGCGCAAGAGATGTCGTCTGACGTCCGGGCTCGTTGTCGTTTTGACGCGGGATTTTGTTTTGCACTTTGCTGGGGTTTAAGGCTAGAACCGAGAGGACGGGAACAAGTAGAGAAGTGAGGGAAAAGTGTTTGAGGGCAAAAGGAGATTTTCGATTTTCATGACTGTCTGAGCATCAGAGAGGCCGAAAGGGGAAAGAGTAGAGAAGTAGAACAGCTCGAGTGACTGAGCCAGCTGCGTCCGTCGCCGTCTCCTGGTTGGTCCACCGTGTCTGCTAGCAGTTTGCTGCTGAAAACTGGTTGAGTGGTTTAGTAGTCGTTCCCGCTTGCGTTGTCATTACTGGGGTAACGCTGCTTAAATTTTGGTTCTTCTCTGTTTCCTGCTGAATAGAATAGCTTATAGGGTGATTGTTGCTGTGAATTGGGATGTTGTGAACTGTTTGAGCAATTTATGAAAGCTCAGCATTTCATTGTCTCTGCTGCACACTATGCTGAAATTTGAGGAACCAGTAGCTTCGGGCTTCTGAGTGGTATTTCTTGAATTAATTCGGTGAAAGAATCTTAGCCGCTTGTAGTTCTTAGGTGGGTTTACCTTGTGAGTTACCGTTCGATGAGTTTGAAGGCTATGATGGTTCTTGCGTGTTCTTTGTTTTATGGTTGCATCTGTTTGTGTCATGGGAGTTGGGAAATGGAACTCTTTCGTCTCACGGAATTGGTTCTTTTGGTATGTCATCGATCACAGGCGAAAAAGGGAGGGAGACGGAGGCTGATAGGTTCGAGTTGGAAGTATTAAAAAGGCTCTTTCGAAAACACTGATTCTGGAATTTTGCTGAGTCTTGTCACGTCGAGCTGATGGGGTCTCTGGTTCAAACATCCAATTCCCCACTCATTCCTCGGTTTCGCACTTCACATCGCATCCTTGAGGAAGCTCGAGTTCAATGTCGTTCAGGCGTGGTACGTTGCAAGCTACCTTTTGTTTCCACTACTTATTTTGACTGACTATTGTAATGGAAAGAGATAGAAAACATATTGTACTTGCTGATGTGTTTTTTTTTTGGGCGTAAGCTCGACTGAAATGGTAACTTAAAAGTGTCGTTCTGTTCTCCTTAAGAGGTGTCGTTTGGTGGAGCCACTGAAGTTTGAGAATGGGAAACCCTCCACCCCAGCCCTTCCGGCTGACAAAGATCCAAGCTTCTTAGCCAGGCCTCAACTAGGCAACATTGTCTCTAGAAAGAATGACACTAGGCTGCGGATATTCTCTGGCACAGCTAATCCTTCTCTCTCTCAGGTATCTCGCTCTCAAGGAATTAAGGCAGATTAAGATTCTGACATTACTTACATTCTATATTTGAAATTTTCTTATAGGTAGTTTGGCAGAAAATAAGCTTTAGCTTCATTACCAAGCGTGGTGCATTAAAAGTTGCAGCCTTATCCATACCTTACTTTTGAAGTATTGTTGTCCTCGACAGGAAATCGCATGCTACATGGGGTTGGAACTGGGGAAAATTAACATAAAGCGTTTTGCTGATGGTGAGATCTATGTCCAACTGCAAGAGAGTGTGCGAGGCTGTGATGTATATCTTGTGCAGCCCACTTGTCCTCCTGCAAATGAGAATCTTATGGAGTTATTGATAATGATTGACGCTTGTCGGAGGGCATCAGCCAAAAATATAACTGCAGTGATTCCATATTTTGGTTATGCTAGAGCTGATAGAAAGGTAAAAATCGCTCGGGGGAAAGTATTGCTGAGTAATTAACCAGGGTGAAACTTAAATGCATGGCATTTATAGAAACAGGAGAAACTTCACATGACCACAGTACATTCTTAATTATGAGGAACAATTAGATTCTCCATTCTTGACCAATATTGAGATAACTGGTGAGGTTACTAAAGTGCTTTTTACACGTCTTTATTCTATTTCAGACTCAAGGGCGTGAATCCATAGCTGCCAAACTTGTGGCAAATTTGATTACAGAAGCAGGTGCTAACCGTGTTCTTGCATGTGATCTTCATTCTGGGCAGTCCATGGGTTATTTTGACATCCCTGTGGACCATGTATATGGTCAGGTACTACACCTGTTTAGAACCCTACTCTTTCTCTTTATATGACAATTGCTCACGTGGCTTTTCAAGAAGCTGGTCACTTCATTGCAAATGAATGATTTGTGTTGAATTTTGATCGACATGTATTGCTTCTAATATTGCATCATGTTGTCTTGTTAGTATAATACAGTGAAACGAGCAACATTTCTACTTCTGATTAGTGTTTGTGTTCATTCTTTGGAATAACCAGCCAGTGGTACTAGATTACCTTGCCAGCAAGAGAGTTTGTTCTGATGACTTGGTGGTGGTATCCCCTGATGTTGGTGGTGTAGCAAGGGCACGTGCTTTCGCCAAGAAATTATCAGATGCACCCCTCGCCATCGTAGATAAAAGGCGGCATGGACACAATGTTGCAGAGGTAAGTCTCCAACGATGGGCTTCTCATGTGTTGCTATAGTAGTGCTTAGGCCTTACATGTCAAGAAATATAATTCGTAATTTTAGGTGTAGGAAAGTATAGAAGTGTTATTTATAGGGATTTGGATAGTATATAAATCCTCTTCCCTATGGAGTTAGCCGTTAGCATCTACTTCCAATTTTGGTTTTGCAGTTTCTTTTCATGTTGTTGTGGGATCACTAGGACATGCACTTGCTTCAGACTCTTACAGCTGTTCGTTTGTGATGTCTATATCTGAATTGAAGGATAGATATAGAATGGAGTTTGTCAGAATGTACTATGTTAAAATCCTAGAATATTGACAAAATATCATTTCAATATCTTGTACCTTCTTGTAACAGGTTTTAGTAAAGTAATTCTGCTGCCTATCATCTTGTAGGTGATGAACTTGATAGGCGATGTTAAGGGAAAAGTTGCAGTTATGGTGGATGACATGATTGATACCGCAGGTGAGTTTGAGGAATCAAGCTAAGCTGGTTTCCTTTTACTACCTAATAAATTTATTTCCTATCATTAAGTCGAAAAAGCATTTTGTTGCATAAATCATAAACATATGATCTTCCCCTTCGTTTGTCCAGAAGTAGATCTTGTTCTGCCTAGAACCCGCTTTTCATTACTATTGTTTTCCATATGAAGAGCTTACAACACATGAATGCTTCTTATTGCAGGGACGATAAGTAAAGGTGCAGCTCTCTTGCACCAAGAGGGAGCAAGGGAGGTATATGCCTGCACTACACATGCTGTTTTCAGGTACGCGGGTTATTTATTTTTGGTGCGACATTCCTCCCCGTGGGAATGTCTGCCGGTGGATTATTTATGTTGGAATGCCTACTAGCATACTATAACTGAATCATCCAAAACTAGTTCACATGGTGATTTGATTCTGCCTGCTATGCAGTCCACCTGCAATCGAGAGGTTGTCGAGTGGTCTTTTCCAAGAGGTTATCATCACAAACACGATCCCGGTGTTGGAGAAGAACTATTTCCCTCAGCTCACTGTCTTGTCGGTGGCAAACCTCCTGGGAGAGACCATCTGGCGAGTGCACGATGATTGCTCGGTGAGTAATCATTTTGCCACTTCAAACAATGTCATGATAGTAATAAGAAGTCGCTTCAATACTCTCTACTACCTTGTTCAAGATTAAAAAAAAAAACACACAGAGTGTGTTACTTGATATAGATATCATAGACCAGAAAGGGTGAAAAATTTAATGTGATGTTTCTTTGTTACTGACAGGGTGGTTTTGAACCCTATTCGAGCCTGGGCATCGACTGACCCGATCAATCGATAACGGCGCGGTGACATACATTGGGAGCCCAACAATATATAGTTAGGGCAAAATTGCTTTGCCCATACTGTCTTCCAAGAGTAGAGAAGCTGCAAGCAGCTTCGTATGCTGCTGAGAACTGAATGGAATGGTGGTTGAAAATCGACTAGCCTGTAGCCTTGGTTTTGGTTTATGTGATGTTGTCCCTTAGGCCTGCCTAGAGAGGCAACGGAAAGGAAGTGTTGTCTCTTGTAAGTTGTAACTTGTAACCATGAAAGCTACAGTGAGTGAGGTGTGTTTGTTTGTTGTACTATCATCACCAAACCATAAATGGAAGTGTATAAACAAGGTATGACATGTAGTCCCATAGATGAGCAGAGAATCAGTTGATCTCAATGTAGTTAAAATTGTAGTTTATGCTTTTACGCTTTGTAGGTCATCTAAACGCTAACAGATAGAATCGTGTGTTTTTTTTCTGCGATTTGTGCAATAACGTAGTCAATATCGCGGTTTGAAATTTACATTATTGTATAACCAAATTGCTTCTACGTAAAACGATTGCGACCGGCGTGAATTGTGATTATGAATACAAAATTTTGGTTACTTTCTTGTAGTTTTTCTATTAATTAGGCCTGTCGACTTCGGCAGTTGACTGGCGAACACTGTCGTCGAACCATATCCTCTCATCATTTCTTTTATACAATCACACTACCCAAAACCACTTCTCACCATCACAACTTCACTTCACAGAAACTCAAAATCCGCCATGGCCAATCCATCTCCAACCTCCGAAATCACCCACGACTTCCCTCCTCTCCTCCGCATCCACAAAAACGGCACCGTAGAGCGCCTCCTCGGCACCCAAACCGTCCCCGCCTCCCTAACCGACCCGAAAACCGCCGTCCAATCCAAAGACGTCCCTTACTCCACCACCAACCCAGATCTCGTCGCCCGCCTCTACCTACCCAAGCGAACCAAACCGAACCAGAAGCTCCCGCTCCTGATCTACTACCACGGCGGCGGATTCGTCATCGAGACCGCCTTCTCTCCGACCTACCACAACCACCTCAACGCCTTGGTCGACGAGGCCAATGTAATCGCCGTCTCCGTCGACTACCGGCGAGCCCCCGAAACCCCGCTCCCGGTCGCGTATGAGGATTGCTGGGCCGCGCTGAAATGGGCCGGGTCACACTCCGATGGGGCCGGGCCGGAGGAGTGGCTCAATGACCACGCGGACTTCGGGTCCGTGTTTCTCGCGGGTGACAGCGCGGGCGCCAATATTGTTCACCAAATGGGGATAAGGTAAGCAGTGGCGGAGTGTCGTTTTAGTTCGTGAGATAGATGAATACAAATAGTTACGATAGTTAGGTATCGGCAGTGGCGTAGCCAGCCATCGAGTCTACTGGGGTCCTTAAAATCTTACTAACATAAATGCTTGTGTACCTAATGAATTTTGAGTTAACCGGGGTCCTTGGTGAGCTAACATCGTTGAGAGTATGGGGTCCTAAACTTGAATTATCGTACTAAAACCTATGTATTTAAAGGATTTTGTTGTCCAATTATTTGCCAAGTGGGGTCCTAGGACCCCTCTCCTCCTTACCTCCCTCCGCCACTGGGTATCGGTGACATAGGAATCCTATAATCTCATAAAATATTAGGCGCGTCAGAGTTCAAGAAGACGTAATTTCGCGTACACTTAGATGTGCTTAGTTATTTGGTAGTGACAAAATGCTTTGTCTAGGTAGTAGGTCCTACGCAAATAATTAGGCGTTCATGACGCTTAGGTAAGATTATAATCGAAGTGAGTCGCGTTTAATTGTACTGGTAGACCAAGGATTAAAAGAATTGTAGCTAATTTTTTTTCTTCAAAACTAACGTCATCTCGATCTACCCTAAACTCAGCCCGTCCTTTACTCATTCCTCGATTTGAAATTGTAATTCTAGGTCATATGACTTGTTTTGATTATTGCCGAGGCCGCCGGGTTGGCTAAGTTATTAACATTTGAGATTGAATTAAAGTACAAAAGTGGCTATAAAATCTTTATTTCTGTTCGTTTTGTTGCAAAACCTGGGCGTCGCGCGCCTAGGTGTCTTTACAAGTTTTTTCATGATGTGAAATACGTTGTAAAAAAAAAACAACAGTAAAATGTCTGAAAAATTATCGTATGATATTTTTGTTTTGAATTCGAACTATTGTATATATATGAAATTCTGGATACGCTACTGAAGGTACGGGCGGGAAAAGATAGAGGGGCTGCCGCGGCTGGCCGGGTTGGTCCTGGTCCACCCGTATTTCGCGGGGAAGGAACCGGTCGATGACGACGAGGCGGCTCAGGTGCCCGATTGGTGGGAGAGGTTCTGGTTGCTGGCCTGCCCGACGTCGACGGCCGGGCTGGACGACCCGTATTTGAACCCGGCGTTCGAACCGGACCTGGCCCGGCTGGGCTGCTCGAGCGTGCTGGTTATGGTGGCGGAGAAGGATTTCTTGAGGGCGAGAGGGAAGCATTACTGCGAGCTGCTGAAAGGGAGCGGGTGGGAAGGCGAGGTGGAACTTGTGGAGGCGGAAGGCGAGCAGCATGTCTTCCACTTGTGGAATGCTGGCTGCGAAAACGCGGCCGTTTTGGTGAAGAAGATATGCTCCTTCATAAATAGTAGTAATTGAAGTTCATAATGTTTGTTTTTTTGGTTTGGCATCGTTGACTCGTTGGGCAGTTGGATGTTAATGTCCATTTGTACTTTTGTAATAATGCGTGATGTTAGCTCTCTAGCCTTTTTTCCCCGATCTTGGTTTGTCCGTTTCGATGCATTAACCGGTGTAAACGTAACGGAGGTTATACCGAAAAAATCTAATAGTAGATTATTAGGTAGTAAAATTGTGGGATAGTTATGATTTAATTGTTTCATATCACTAAAATTGCCTATCGTTTTGGGTTACAGAGAGACTCTAATACCATTCATAACATGTTGAACATTTTTTTGAATAAGATATTTATCCATTTCGGGTATAGACTCTCGCGATTTTCAGGGCCGTCCCATGATATTCGGAGGCCCTGTTCGAAAATTTAAAATGTGGCCCTAAAAATTTTCTCCACAAATTTATTAAAAATAAAAATTATTAAATAATTATAAAAAAATGCATAGTCTCAGAAAATGATTACAAAAGAGATAAATGATCACGTTTCTAGTTTGACGAAGAAACCAAAACCAAATTCCCAGGGCTGTCTAATGCTTCGTGGGGGCCTTGTTCCAAAATTGAGACGTGGTCTAAATTGACTTTTAACTATAATAAAACTAAAAATGACTGTAATATCTTTCTACATAATTTAAAATAAAATTAGGGTAATGTCTATTTTTTATCCAAACTTTTTCAGATTCTTTTATATTATCCAAACCTTTTAAAAATTTATTAATTAGTCAAATCTTTCATAATGCACCAAAATATTAGTCATTTTTACGTTATTGTTAATAATTCTGTAACTCTTTTCTTAGTTAAAGTACTAAAATTTTGGAATCTTGACCTTCATGTGTCTCTTCCAAGTCAGTATCATGTTGTCAAGTCAATATTACTAACAAAAATGCTAACCGAAAGTTAACATTCGGCTAATTTTTAGTATTTCGACAGGTTTGGATATTATAAAATAATCTGAAAAAGGTCTGGATAAAAAATAGACGTTACGCATAAAATTATCTATTATCATTCTTATTTTCGTAGTCTTCATGATATCATTTTTAATTGTTATTATAGCTAAAATTATCTATTAAAATCGTCATCATACTCATAATCAATCAATCAAAATACTAAAAATACAATCTACAATGTTCTATCGGTAACTAACGGATCTAAGTGGAGGCCCCTAATATTCGGAGGCCCTGTGCCTGAGGGCGGGCCAGCACACCCTCTAGGCCGGCCCTGGCGATTTTTCACTACGGGTACATATCCAAAGTGAAGTGCTAGAGGTCACTCATACAATCATACTTGCATTGCTCTATAGTATACACGTTTAATTTTAGAGTTCTTATACGAACTTTTTCCATTTGTAAGTTAAAGTGAATTTCTTCCTTATGAAATATAAATTTCTTTGGTACTAGATATTAACAAAGTCGGTTTATTTTGACATGAATATATAAATATAATAAAAATGGAAATAAGCGTACCAATATAATTTTCCCCACAATAAATCAGGGCGAAATTACTTGTCCATAGCACAAACTTCCACGTATGACTTCTTTCTCTACGGACCACGGCCTCATTCTTTCTTCTTAATTTTTTTTTCCTTAAAAATTTTCGATTGAAAAGAAGATATTAAACCTGCTGCAGATATTTTTATTTCCCCATTTTTCTGCCACCGTGTCCATCTCCCAAACCCGAGCCCATACGACCATTATAGCCCTTCTGCAGAGCTCTCTCCCTCTGCGTCAAAAGCAACAATGGAGAGGGCTGCTCTTCTCCGCTGTTCCTCTCTAGCTCCCAACCGATTCTTCTACTTCCCCGGCAGCAGATCATTTCCTCTCCGTCGTCTTCCCGCTTCAGCTCCCTTCTCCTCCCGCTCTGCTTCCTCCTCATCCTCCGCTCCTTCCACCAGCTCCCGCCTCCTCCACCGCCGCCGTCACTCCAGATTGCTCCGCGTCGCTGCTTCTTCTTCCTCCTCCTCCTCGTCGTCGCCGTCGTTCTCTTCAGCTCGCTCCGATAAACATTTCTCCACTCTCTCCGCTCGCGCCGTAGCAACACCGTCAGCGCCTCAGTTCTCCTCCTCGGGTACTTCCTTGTCCTCTCTCTCTGTTGCTGGAGGAAATTTTCATCGGAAGCTATCATCGGCTAGAAATTATAATCCGTATCGATTCCTGTTATTTCAATTGACAATCGCACATGTAGAGCTAAGCCGCTCGAATTAGGATTTTGGTTGTAGCTTGGACATTCCAGCGTGCCTAGTGTATCCGTTTCTGTACTTCCCTGTAAAGTTTGCGCTGTGTGCGATGAGATTCGAGGATAATTTACGTTTGGCATCTTGCTAATAGCAAAAATCCTTTTGTAGATGGTTGTGAAGTTAGTTAACTGGATTTTTTTTAAAAAAATAATTGTTTGCTGCTGTAGATGTTTCTGATGAGGCTGCAGAGAAGCTGGGATTCGAGAAGGTTTCGGAGCAGTTCATTGAAGAGTGCAAATCAAAGGCGGTGCTCTTCAAGCATAGGAAGACTGGTTGTGAAGTTATGTCAGTGTCGAATGACGATGAGAATAAGGTCTTCGGCATTGTGCTTCGAACGCCTCCGTAAGTATTCTAACTTCCTGTATTGTGTAGATGAGAAGGCTGCTAAAGTTCAATGAACCTGAAACATGCTGATTTACTATGCATAGAAGACTGGTGTACATATATAACGTTGTTGTTGGTGATCGTTTTGAGAGTATTGAAGTTCAGTTGCGTATAGGGACCTTCTATTCTGCAGTGCTTAACTTCTAATTCTGTAATGCAGGAAGGATTCAACTGGGATTCCACACATACTGGAACACAGCGTGCTGTGTGGGTCAAGAAAATATCCTCTGAAAGAGCCGTTCACGGAGCTAATTAAAGGAAGTTTGAATACATATCTTAATGCAATTACCTTTCCTGATAGAACCTGCTACCCAATTGCTTCAACGAATACAAAGGTAGGTACATTCTTATGGGATACGGCGAATCCAGAATTTGTTTGTCCATCATTTTCCCGTTTGCTCACTAATGTTACCTCGATCTCAATGTGAAAACAGGATTTCTACAATCTAGTTGATGTCTATCTGGATGCTGTCTTCTTCCCAAATTGTGTGGAGGACGAACTAATCTTTCAGCAGGAGGGCTGGCATTATGAGCTGGATGATCCTTCCAAAGAGATCACTTATAAAGGTAAATCTTCAGCAAAATTTAGTTAGCTTCCATTTCATGTCCCACCAAAGGTTGTTGGTCTTACACGTATGTACCTGAATTATCCTCAGGTGTTGTCTTTAACGAGATGAAAGGTGTCTACTCTCAGCCAGAAAATGTTTTGGGCCGGGCTGTTCGACGTGTAAGTCCACTTATATCTTGTAGTCTGTGATAGTCACCATCATCTCACTGCCTCACTCTCCCTGTCAAGACAACCACTCACATAAAGACGATATCATCATTCCTGACGTGTAACATTATGCTCCTAGGGTATATATTTGACGTTGTTGCATAAGCTTGAGCAAAACAGTGACTAAACACCTCCATTGAACATCCTCCTCATAGTCATACTTGTGATTATATTATGATTACAGAGTTCCAGTCTTTTTCTCTCTATCTTCCCTTCTCATGGTTACATTTCCCCTTTCCAATGTTGCTTGTATTTTTACTGTTGCACCACATATGGGTCGTATGGATTAGGAGTTCCACTTGTAACACAAGTTCTAAGAATTCCATTCATCTAAAACAAGTACAAGTTCTGAGAATACAACTTTTCTTACAGATCGAGCTTTCAGAAAGTTCCTTAGTTTTCTTTGACGTAGGAGGAAACAATCTGGAAATGTCGTTGGTGTTCGGTGTTCCTATGTTCTCATGTATTTCAGCTTTCTTCCTGACTTTTCTTTGTATTTCCTGATCCCAAGTACTAGTGGTTACTTGTTTATAACTACTGGAGTATGAGACTGGCCCAAGATCCTCCTGCGTCCATAGTTCATTAACCAACTTTCTGGATGTTGTACGAAAAAGTATTACCCTGTAGTGTTAACTGGTATCCTTTTTCCCTGTTCAGGCTGTTTTCCCCGACAATACCTATGGAGTTGACAGTGGAGGGGACCCCACAGTTATTCCCAAGCTGACATTCGAAGAATTCAAGGTCTGTTGACAGAGTTTCTGTTTACTACTACTGTGTGCAATTTTTCAAGTTTTGGGTATTGAAAACCCACAAGGTTTACAATCTTTTTCTGCAGGAATGTAAGGAGCTATTTTTGTTGACCCATTTTTCTTATATATATAGAGAATCTTTACAGCATCAATTTAAAAAATATTTGGTGCATTCATTTATTAGTTGAGAGATCTTGGAGATATACATACTGCTGCATGATGAATCACAGTGAAGGAGCTCTGATTCTTTAAACAACAAATTGCAGGAATTTCATCGTAAGTATTACCACCCTAGCAATGCAAGGATTTGGTTTTATGGAGATGATGATCCATCCGAGCGCCTGCGAATCCTGAGTGGTATTTACTGACTTGATATTACAGATTATACAAAGTTACTGTTAATTTATGCTGCACGTCCAATATCTTCATTGTAGGTGTGTTGTGAGAAAGGAATACAAACTGATACATAAGGAAGAGATACTATTAGTGCGTAAAGATGATCAGAATGAAGTGTCTAAATGAAACTCCTGACTTTTGAATCTCATTTCTGGCTGAGGCCATGAATAATTAAGTTAATATTGCTGGCAAAGAGCTTCATTTCCTTTTCTTCAGCGTCATTATGATTTGTTACATAGGTATTAGTCCCTTATCCCATTAACCATCATACCTCCATCTGAAGGTTTTGAAGCTTGAACTCTCTATTGTGAGTTATGATGACACTTTCACTTCTGAGGTCGTTTCCTTTTATCGCTTGAGTTCAAGACTATTGCAGAAAGGTTTCAGTTTTGTGATGTGGTCTCCTTCACACGTGCAGAATATCTGGAGATGTTTGGGTCAAGTTCATCTCCAAGTGAATCGACAGTTGAGCCTCAGAGACTTTTCTCAGAGCCAGTAAGGGTTGTGCATAAGTATCCAGCTGGTGATGGAGGTGATTTGAAAAAGAAGCATATGGTGTGCCTTAACTGGTTGCTCTCTGATAAGACACTGGACTTGGAAACTGAGCTTGCACTTGGATTTTTGGATCATCTTTTGTTGGGAACTCCTGCTTCTCCATTGATGAAG